CTTCTGCCTTGGAACAATATAAAAGGTAAAGGTCTTGTTTATTATAGTGTCACCTCTACTGAAAGGGCCAGCCATTTTGACTTGTGAGACACCTTTTGCTTGCATACCATGTACCTCCCAATTCCTACCACTATACCAGGCGCCAGGCGGATAGAAATCGGTAACCATTCATTTTAACTACCTCGCGGCTCACGAAGCGGCCATTTCGGAATATATTAGACAGTCATTAACTTGATAACAATAAAGTTTTAAAAAATACATGAAGAAAGAAACTACCCAAGTTATTGAAATTTACAAGACATACACAGTTAATTACAAGAACACTTCCTTCCATTCATGAATATAAGATAAAAGACAAGAAAGTAAAAACACAGGCTGCCATAATGTGATCTGTTCAAGCTAAGAATGAGAACTTTGCTCGACGTGTATCAAGAAAACTGCCGAGATTCTAAATAAAATCTAAAATCCAGAATTTCTTTGTTTTGTTTTTTAAATATTTCAATTTAACATGCATAGCAATTTTGAAATTAAATTTGAATGAACAAAAAATAATGAATTGATAAAAAAGCCCATGTACAAAAAATAGGTTCTAAGTGATATAATTTTTACTATATTTAAAAGAAGTACACATACATAAAATGTTTTACTACAGCTATACCGCTAGCATCCTCAGAAAATGCTAACTCAGCAATTAGTAATCCTTTATGAACATGTACTCTACTTTATGATACATTTTTACTAAGACACTTCTTTAAAATGACCTTATGAATTAGATAAAAACACAGAAAGTAGAGGAAACTCATGTTAACAACAAATGTGTATCAAATCTTTAGTTTGCAGTTCTGAACACATTGTTTCAATTGTTTAAAATATAAATCTGTTAAAATGTTGCCACCTTCTTGTTACTTCTTGCACAAGCACAACATGTACCTGGCATATACCAGCTGTTGTATTTTATAGCTAACATTATAACAAAATTGTCATTTATTGAATTATGACCAGCACCAGGAGTTGTAACATTGCGCTCATTTATCCTTCTTTGTTTTCTTGTCAGCAACATTGTCTTTCTTCTCACCATCTCCCTCTGTCTTCACCTCAGGATGATCCTCATGACTATAATAATTCAAATATATACCACATGTATAATATAATTCAAGCTCTTAGGAATAAGATATGATAATATTTTTCTTGTATATCAATCATAGTTTATTTTCTTAACTTGACCTAACTGCAGACCTAAACTGAAATTCTCAAAATAACTCTTACTATATTCTGTTTCAGGTCTAAATTTAAAAGCTATTCGAATATTCGAAATATACAACATAAGTTATAACACGAGAAGTTTAGAACTATGAAATGACCCTTTTTAATATAATTTCAGCTGAGCATATGATTTCTTGGTTATGTAGGAGAGAAAACCACTATTATATAAGTTGATTCGCAATTTAGCCTTTACCTTAATGGGAATGCTACGGAAGAGCATTAGTGCCAGGTGTATGTTTTTTATTAACTCGAAATTTCGAGTTACTAACTCGAAATTTCGACTTACTTATCTCGAAATTTCGACTTACTAACTCGAAATTTCGAGTTAGTATGTCGAAATTTCTAGTTACTAACTCGAAATTTCGACTTACTAACTCGAAATTTCGACTAAGTAACTCGAAATTTCGACATACTAACTCGACATTTCGAGTTACTTATCTCGAAATTTCGACTTAGTAACTCGAAATTTCGACTTAGTAACTTGAAATTTCGACTTACATTGCACGACTTTCATTGGTTGCGGGTGAAAGCACGGATTGAATTTAAGATACTTTCTTTCGTGTGTAGCTGTTGCACATTGACAGAGCACCTTTAACATTTATTTAACAGAACAATTTAATAGGGTCAAATTGTCCATATCCTTCGCTTTTTTGTGGAGGGGGTTGTAAAATCACACTTTCCACATTTCCGTGTTAACCGGGTGTTTCTTTTTCTTAAGTACACATACAACCATCATGTGGAGAAACAACAAGTCCAAAACCCACCCTATTGTAAACTGTGCAATATCATGTGTTAATAAGTTTTAAATGACGTGTATACGCCAGCTAGTCTGTCACGTTTCTTTATACTAATAATGTTTTTGTAACATTATTCATTATTTACTAATACATGTACTTTGATTCATATTGTGTTGATAAAAGTTGATAAAAGTGAAACTTGTTGTTATATATATGTTGGGAATAATATAAAAGCATCCGATTTTACAAGAAATATAGTCAGTCCAACAATTTTGACAAAGGCCTCAGCACGCCCTTTTTTGGCCACGCCGCGATACTTTCCTCAGATGTCCCACACGTGAAGTATAGGATCGTTTTTTTGCAGGGATGAGAAGAATATGATTAGTGAAAAAATATGTTCGAACAGATGGGATACAATACAACGTCTGAAGAACGCCTGAACGTACAAATTAAAGGAAGCCTTGTATTTTTTAGGTCGGTGTGTACATGCCATTAAGTTAAATTTCAATAGTTTTTGTCCAGGCACCCGTTTCTCCATCTCCATCGTTCAACGACACTCCCTACTATATCTTATACCATCTAACTAATAACTTTGGCCATTCTTGTAATGTTAATAAGTCGAAATTTCGAGTTAGTAACTCGAAATTTCGAGATAAATAACTCGAAATTTCGAGTTAGTATGTCGAAATTTTGAGTTAATAAGTCGAAATTTCGGGTTAGTAAGTCGAAATTTCGAGTTAGTAAGTCGAAATTTCGGGTTAGTAAGTCGAAATTTCGAGATAAGTAACTCGAAATTTCGAGTTAGTAACTCGAAATTTCGAGTTAGTAAGTCGAAATTTCGAGATAAGTAAGTCGAAATTTCGAGTTAGTAGCTCGAAATTTCGAGTTATTAAAAAAATACACCTGGCACTAATGCTCTTCCGTAGAATGCTCATTGATACGTTTATGAAATATCAATGTCAAAATACATGTATACTAGTGGTATAGGCAGATCATAGTTATTGCTAGATAAAGATGAATTAATTATCCAAGTGTTGTAGAAATCTGTTTTGGAGTTCGAGTTAAAGCATATAGGAAAAAGAAAACAACTTTATACCGTTTTCAGGTTTAAACTATGCAGTAAAACTTTAAATGTTTTTTAAATTTTTTTTTAAGTACTAAAAATAGAGTGAAATAAGAATCCCTAAAGAAAGCCCAACGCGGCAAAATTGAAAATGTTGCAGGCTCGGTTTGATTGAGTCGTTCATGAACGGTACTGTCAAGTGCAAGTTACCGTCCACGTCCCCTAGCACCGGCTTAAGCAGAATTCAACATTTAACATGAACTGGCAAAATTTAGAATTTGAAACATCCGCAGATGTGTTCATATGGCGGTTATCATGGAACCTTCAATGTGACACGTTAGTGCCATTCCATGAAAAGCGGCATATGGTCCCCAAGTAAACAAATGCGTGTGCCCTAAACGAGAAAACAATGGGTGGAACTAAATAAAATGGAATTTTGAAAGGGGATCTGAAAACCAATGTTCTTTTTTTTGCTACATTATTTTTCATATTCTAACTATTTCTTAGAATAAAAACATATTTTACCCTCGAGCCGACGAGATGTTTACAAAAAAAACAAAAACATTCTGATTGGGAGCATTTTGCAGGTATGCGAAAATATAGTATTGTACCATTGCATATGTCAGAAGAAACTTTGGGACATATTATGGTATGATATGTTGTCAATCCAACCGTGGTTTCCAATGATTGTGTTTATATTTGACATGCAAGTATGTCATATCAAAACACAGGTCAAGGTTTTTGCTTTTCTGCAGGATAACTTTTTAACCAAGTTTACTTTGAACTTACTGATTTTCGCAGGATTACTAATGAAGAATTTCAATAAATGTGTGTTTATTTGGAATGTATGTTATATCAAGTTTAAATTTTTGCTGCAGTCAACATATTATTGAAAGAGTAATGCCACTTTTAAAGCAAATTTACTGTAACATTATTGGTTTATACAGGATAACTTTTAAAGGATTTATCTTGAAGGCATTTTTGTCTGTATTACCTTCTTTTGAATTTGCCATTGGAGGTATGTTGGCCTGTCTCAGCAAAGCTCTTATTAAGACACCTTTCTTAAACTCTTGAAACATGTGATTCATATCTTCTTATATTATGATGATGGTTTTTGTTTTATCTTTTAAAGCCTTCATTTTAAGCTAAAAATGTTTGATATTGTAGGACAGCAAGGCTCACTGTTAGACTACCAGGAGTATATATCAAGTGTAGAGAGTTCTGCTCTACATGATGATTTTGTTGAGCTACCTGGACTATGTACAACAAGTCTAGCTCAAGTCCTCAACCCAAATAGTGTAAGCCAGCAACCAGTGAGAGGACAGAGTGGAGAACCAGTCTCTCAGTCACAGGTTAGAGTTTCTGAAACTGTCCAAGTAAACTCTGTAAATGTTCCCAGAACTACACCTCTAGTACAGAGTAATGTAGGAATACCCTTGCCATCAGATTCTACTGGGCTGCCTTTCAGAGTGTCTCAACAATTACCATTATCATTTTATGAGAAAAATCAACCAATATCTGTTGTACCAAAGGACAGACCTCAGACATTACGGTCTAATGACCAAAATAATTCATCTTCACAAGACCAGTCAAATTCTTCTGAAAGGTCACATGACCACATGGCTGCATGTGCTGACAGAGATTTTCTTGCCTCACAAATTGCTGAATTGAACAAACAACATGCTGAAGCTCAGAAAAGACTAAATAGTTTAATGCATCAGCAACAAGCTGGTCAAGGTCAAAATGAACTAGCACAACAACAGCGGCAACAAGAGATTCAGCAGCAGCAGGACCAACAAGCAAGACAGCAAGTTGTACAAAATCAACAACGAATTCAGCAGCAGCAACAACAACTGCAGCAGCAACAGCAACAGAGACTTCTACAAATGGTGATGTAACAACAACAAAGGACAACAACAACAGCAACAGAAAAACAACAGCAGTTACAGGAGCAGCAGTTGCAACAACAACAGTTACAACAACAGCAACAACAAAATTAACGTCCGAGACCTGCTATACCTGGAGAAATGACAAATGGAACAGGAAATGTGAGACAGTCAACTGAATTACCAGGATACAGACCTGTTCAAATTTAGGTTTGAAATTTCTATAGCATATTTTATAATAATCTGTAATAAGAGATTAAACTGATGGGTGCATAGCTTACAAGTGAATGAATTAAGAGTAAAGTAGTGTGTATACTGACCATACTATTTTGTCAAAGGTTAATTGTTGGATTTTTTGTGCCCCCACTTAAGTGGCGGGCATTTAGATTTACCCTTGTCCTTCCGTCCGTCCGTTCACTTTTGTGTGGCACGTAACTCAAAAAGTATTTGACCTAGAGTCATGAAACTTTACAGGAATGTTGATCAGCATGTGTAGTTGTGCACCTGGGTATTTTCGTCTGGATATTTTTAGTATTTTTAGAGTTCTTGCCCTTGACTTAGTAAAATTTTGCAATTTTCAACTTGTGTCGCATGTAACTCAAAAAGTATTTGACCTAGAGTCATGAAACTTTACAGGAATGTTGATCAGCATGTGTAGTTGTGCACCTGGGTATTTTCATCTGGATATTTTTAGCATTTTTAGAGTTATTGCCCTTGACTTAGTAAAATTTTGCAATTTTCAACTTGTGTCGCATGTAACTCAAAAAGTATTTGACCTAGAGTCATGAAACTTTACAGGAATGTTGATCAGCATGTGTAGTTGTGCACCTGGGTATTTTTGTCTGGATATTTTTAGTATTTATAGAGTTATTGCCCTTGACTTAGAATTTTTTTTGCAATTTTTAACTTGTGTCGCATGCAACTCAAAAAGGATTTGACATAGAGTCATTAAACCTTACGGGAAGGTTGATCAGGATATTATGTTTTGCACCTGGGGTTTCGCTTGTGGATTTATCCAGTATTTGTAGAGTTATTTCCCTTGACTTAGTAAAAACTGTTTCATTATGTTGTTATTTGTTCCTTGAGTGCTTGAGTTAGAATCAACCAACTTTACAGGAATAATGATCAACATCACAAAAATACAGGAATAATGATTCACATCACTGTGAAGCTATGCACCTGGGATTTTGCATGTGGAAAAAAGTATTTGACCTAGAGTTTTTCAGTTTTGTTAGAGGTATTGCCCTTGACTTACAGTAGTATAAATTTGCAATTTTCAACTTGTTCATGCATAGCTCAAAAAGTATTTCACTTGTAGGCCTGAAAGTTTTCAAGAATGTTGGTCAGCATGTGTACTTATGCACCTTGGGGTTTGCTTTTGGATTTATTCAGTATTTGTAAAGTTCTTGCCCTGTACTTTAGTAAAAGATTTTTAGTTTTCAAAAAATATTTGACCTAGAGTCATAAGATTGACAGAACAGTGGCGCGGTGGGGGCACCCGTGTCCTATGGACACATTTCTAGTTTTTAACTGAATCATTTTTCACTTTTATTATATGCCCGAAAAAATTTCGGGCATATTATGTTTTACCCCCTGGTGTCCGTCCGTCTGTTCATCCGTCCGTTAGCAATTTGGTTTCCGGAGCATAACTTAAGTTCCATTTGGCCCACAATATTCAAACTTCATAGGATGATTGTCCATATTGGGTAGAAGACCCCTATTGATTTTGGGGTCACAAGGTCAAAGGTCAAGGTCACTATTACCTTAAAACTGAAAACAGTTTCCGGAGCATAACTTAAGTTCCATTTGGCCCACAGTATTCAAACTTCATAGGATGATTGTCCATATTGGGTAGAAGACCCCTATAGATTTTGGGGTCACAAGGTCAAAGGTCAAGGTCACTATTACCTTAAACCTAAAAACAGTTTCCGGAGCATAACTTAAGTTCCATTTGGCTCACAGTGTTCAAACTTCATAGGATAATTGTCCATATTGGGTAGAAGACCCCTATTGATTTTGGGGTCACAAGGTCAAAGGTCAAGGTCACTATTACCTTAAAACTGAAAACAGATTCCGGAGCATAACTTTAGTTCCATTTGGCCCACAATATTCAAACTTCATAGGATGATTGTCCATATTGGGTAGAAGTCTTCTATTGATTTTGGGGTCACAAGGTCAAAGGTCAAGGTCACTATCACCTTAAATCTGAAAACAGTTTACGGTGCATAACTTAAGTTCCATTTGGCCCACAATATTCAAACTTCATAGGATGATTGTCCATATTGGGTAGAAGACCCCTATAGATTTTGGGGTCACAAGGTCAAAGGTAAAGGTCACTATCACCTTAAAACTGAAAACAGATTCCGGTGCATAACTTTAGTTCCATTTGGCCCACAATATTCAAACTTCATAGGATGATTGTCCATATTGGGTAGAAGACCCCTATTGATTTTGGGGTCACAAGGTCAAAGGTCAAGGTCACTATCACCTTAAATCTGAAAACAGTTTACGGTGCATAACTTTAGTTCCATTTGGCCCACAATATTCAAACTTCATAGGATGATTGTCCATATTGGGTAGAAGACCCCTATAGATTTTGGGGTCACAAGGTCAAAGGTCAAGGTCACTATTACCTTAAAACTGAGCAAGGTTTCCAGAACATAACTTAAGTTCTATTTGGTCCACAGTATTCAAATTTCATAGTATGATTGTCCATATTGGGTAGAAGACCCCTATTGATTTTGGGGTCACAGAGGTCAAGGGTCAAGGTCATTATTTCTTTAAAACTGAAAACAGTTTCCATACCCTAACTGAAGTTCCATTTGGCCAACATTGATCAAACTTCATAGGATGATTGTCTATATTGGGTAGAACACCCCTATTGATTTTGGGGTCACAAGGTCAAAGTTCAAGGTCAGTATTACCTTTAAACTGAAAACAGTTTCCGGAGCATAACTTAAGTTCCATTTGGCCCACAATATTCAAACTTCATAGGATGATTGATATTTGAAGGAGGTAATACTTTATTAAATTCCCATGTCTTACAAATGCTTCATCCTTACTAAAGAAACAAAACACTTTCGGGCATATAATGCTCTGCCTAGCGGAGTGTTTTAGAACACTTGTAAAGCAAAAGTTCAACATTATTGTAAACTCTAATTCTTGTAGTCTGTATACAGTGGTTCTGGAAAATGATTTGTCTTTGTTTTCAGGGACCATTGTGTAATTTATCTATTATATCCTCAACTTAAAACATTTCATAAAGAAACAAATGAGTTAGATTCAGAGTTTGATATAAATCACTGTGTCTTTCATTAGTTATTTATTTAATTTATATTCCAGTATAAGTAAATGTTGAACCATCATATTTCAGCCTGGTTTTCCAGCATATCCAGTTTCTCCAAATATTTCACCAATATCACAGAAACCTGACAGTTACAGAATGATGTTTCAGTCAGTGGAAAGTCAGGTAGTGTATTATATTTTCTGTCAATTTATAACTCTGTTATTACTGTACATACTGAAAGTATCATTTAGACACACAGAAGATTATATATATAATATATGGGTATAATCTGCTGCACATTGCTCAAACTTTCAGTGCTGAATGGTTGAAAATGTCAAGATTAAGAGGGGCATGATAAAAAGGGTTATGTAAATGTTAACAGGGACTTGTATTTGACTGCTGTGGATATTGCTGAATAAAAGTCACTAACTCCACATCTTGTGACCACTCAAGCTAAATCTTCTGCAGAATTCAATCCTGTTGCAATAACTCTAATATTTGATGATATGTATCCAGAATTAAGAGGTAGTTGGCGCATCATATGACCTTGGTTTTGTATAATTATAGTATTTCAAAGAGAATGAAAATATAAGATAGAGATACTTACTTAATTTTAGATTGGAAGTAAAGTTATATTTTATATTTGGCTTGTCTGATGAATCATCTCTTCATTACTGTCACTTAAGTTTATTATACATCTACATTTATTATATGATCCCTCATTTGTCACCCACCACAGCTGTCCAGACAGACAGGCAGGCAGGCAGGCAGGCAGGCAGACAGAGTAACCGTTGACTGGTGCACTGTTGCAATATTTAGAGTTAAAATATATGTCGGCTCGTAAAGATAATTATGTGTATATAATGTAATAGTGATATAAAGTTTAGTGTTCTGAAGTCTTGTCTTTCATTATGTTTAAGTATTGTTTTTGTTTTTTTTTTAGCTCACCTGTCATAAAGTGACAGGGTGAGCTTTTGTGATCGCTTTTCGTCCGGCGTCCGTCCGTCGTCAGTCCGGCGTCCGTCCGTCCGTAAACATTTACTTTAAATGACATCTCCTCATAAACCGCTGAGCCAATTTCATCCAAACTTCACAGGAATGTTCCTTTGGTGGTCACCTTTAAAAATTGTTCAAAGAATTTAATTCCATGCAGAACTCTGGTTGCCATGGCAACCGATAGAAAAAACTTAAAATATCTTCTTTTAAAAAACCCCAAAGAGCTAGAGCTAAGATATTTAGCATGAAACATGTTCTAATGAGTGTCTATCAAGTTTGTTCAAATAAAAGCCCTGGGGTCAAAATTGGCCCCGCCCCAGGGGGTCATTGATTTTCCCTATATGCATATAGTAAAAACTTATAAAATCTTCTTTTAAAGAACCCAAAGAGCTAGAGCTAAGATATTTAGCATGAACCATGTTCTAATGGGTGTCTACCAAGTTTGTTCAAATAAAAGCCCTGGGGTCAAAATTGGCCTCGCCCCAGGGGTTCATTGATTTTCCCTATATGCATATAGTAAAAACTTATAAAATCTTCTTTTAAAGAACCCAAAGATCTAGAGCTAAGATATTTAGTATAAAACATGTTCTAATGAGTGTCTACCAAGTTTGTTCAAATAAAAGCCCTAGGGTCAAAATTGGCCCCGCCCCAGGGAGTCATTGATTTTCTCTATATGCATATAGTAAATTCTTATAAAATCTTCTTTTAAAGAACTCAAAGAGCTAGAGCTAAGATATTTAACATGAAACATCTTCTAATAGGTGTCTACCAAGTTTGTTTAAAAAAAAGCCCTGGGGTCAAAATTGGCCCCGCCCCAGGGGGTCATTGATTTTCCCTATATGCATATAGTAAAAATGTATAAAATCTTCTTTTAAAGAACCCAAAGAGCTAGAGCTAAGATATTTAGCATGAACCATGTTCTAATGGGTGTCTACCAAATTTGTTCAAATAAGAGCCCTGGGGTCAAAATTTGCCCTGCCCGGGGGGTCATTGATTTTCAATATATGTGTAAAGCAAAAACTTTAAATTAAAAATTCTTTGAAAAAAACCAAATAGCTAGAGTTTAGATACTAAGCATGAAACATCTTCTAGTGAGTGTCTACAAAGTTTTTTCAAATAAAAGCCCTTGGGTCAAAATTGGCCCTGCCCCGGGGGTCATTGATTTTATTTATGTGTATAGCAAAAATCTTCTTTGAAAAAACCCAAATAGCTAGAGTTAAGATATTTAGCATGAAACATCTTCCAGTTAGTGTCTTCAAAGTTTGTTCAAATAAAGCCCTAGGGTCAAAATTGGCCCTGCCCTGGGGGACATTGATTTTCCTTATATGTGTATAGCAAAAACTTAAAAATCTTCTTTAAAAAAAAACAGAATAGCTAGAGTTTAGATATCAAGCATGAAACATCTTCTAGTGAGTGTCTCCAAAGTTTGTTCAAATAAAAGCCCTGGGGTCAAAACTGGCCCCGCCCTAGGGGTGTCATTGCTTTTAACTATATGTGTATAGTTAAAACTTAAAAAATCTTTTTTTTAAAAACTCAACGAGCTAGTCCTTAGATGTTTAGCGTGAAATATCTTCTAATGGGTGTCTACCTAGTTTGTTCAAATAAAAGCCCTGGGGTTTAAACTGGCCCCGCCCTGGGGGCCTATATACAGTTGAGCGACTTCAGGGCCATCATGGCCCTCTTGTTTTTAAATATTGTTTATTATTTGTTTGATTGTATTTTATAGGATACAAGTGTGAGTGCACCACTGAATAGAGGTATTACAGTATCTTTACCCAAAGTTGATATGGACCAATCTTATGATAGTCCCTCGCCCAACCCACCACAGACAGCAATATAATATATACAAACAATACATAAGAGGGGAACAATCAGTAATGATTATAAAGAGTTCAAATATAAAGATATTTTATGATATTGTTTATGTTAAATTATGTTAATGACAACTAAAAGAAAGAAAAGATGTTGTGACACATTTAAAGAAAACTGCCTTACATGTAAAGTTGATTACTTTATTTTATTACTGATTTATTTTGTTTTCAGTAGATTACTGAACTATAACACTGAGTTATATTATGATAATTTCACTATCATCTTGAAAACCATAGTTTCACTTTAGCAGAAGTATATTCATGATATTTAAATGCAGATGAAATCGATATCCATAAATAAATGGAAATTTTGGCAGAAATACAGTACAGTGTATGAAAAATGTACATAATTACTTAAAGCATATAAACGTTCAAATTCTGAAATTTGATGTAAGTGTATAATGTGTACGTTGTTACGCCAAAGTTGAGGAAATGTATATGCTTTTGATAAATACACTGTTTAAAAAATATGCACCTTTACAATATTAGGGTATCAGACATGTAATGGAGACACTTTTTAAACGCGGCAAATATTGGGTTTTCCTATATAGTGAGTGAGCATTGTGCTTATTTTCCATTTATTTACCAAGTTGTAACTGTAGGATATTTTGTACGGGAACAACCATATTTGCCTAGTTTAAAAATGACCAATTCCTCAATTAATACATTCTAAGTGTAATGATATTGTGAAATAATAATATTGTAAACTATGTTTACATCTAAAACGTTTTGCTGAGAGTTTTTGCTCATATTATGTTTTCTGTATTAAGACATAATGAAAGAGTTTGTGTAAAGTCTGTGATAGTGTTCAAATATAAACTTGCATGGCCACTTTGTTCCCAATATTGGGCAATATTTGGTGGAATGTCAGTATAGAAAATATGTAAAATAATAATATAGAATTATCAGATTGTATGTTGTTTAATAGTATAAAATTGTATATTTAGCATAACTTTGTATATTAAAAAGAAATACACAGGTATGTGTTATCATTTCTTGCAATGTTATTTTAGGCCTTAGCCAATGGAAAAAAATTAAAACTTTTTGGCAGAACTGTTAATCATAATGACACAATGTACAATTGTGTATCCTTCTGGGCTTCCTCAGATTAAGGCACACTCATTCATTGTTATTATTGAATGGATTGACTTCATATTAAGACAAAACACTCTTTAGGATAAGACCTTCATTTATTTTTAACTCAATTTGACCTTAGCTCATAAATTTATGACATTGACCTTCAAGGTTAAGTTATTGGATTTGTACTGATTTTTGCTGTAATTAACTGTAACTTGGTAATCAATAATTGGATTATCTTCATACTCTGACAAAACAACATTTTAGACAAGACCTTAAATGGTTGAACTGACATTGAGCTTTAAATGACCTTGACCATCAAGGTCAAATTATTGAATTTTGGTTAAATTGTTATAATTTTGTATACGAAGTATATGGAGAGCTGTCCTACTCGCCCCAGCGGCGTCCAGATTTCAGAAAAGTTTTGGTGCAGTAAAATATTTTTCACTATAACTTTGTCATTTCTTAAGTTATCAACTTCAAATATATGTTCCTTATCATCAACCACATCTTATGTGACAAGGTTCATAACTCTAGCACCAATATTTTCAGATTTATCTCCCCTTGAACTTAGAATTTTCCTTAAAAAATACTATTTTTTTACTGTAACTACTTTATTTCTTAAGGGATCAACTTCATACTTCAAATATATGTACCTTATCATCAACCACATCTTATGTGACAAGGTTCATAACTCTAGCACCAATATTTTCAGATTTATCTCCCCTTGAACTTAGAATTTTCCTTAAAAAATACTATTTTTTACTGTAACTTCTTTATTTCTTAAGGGATCAACTTCATACTTCAAATATATGTACCTTATCATCAACCACATCTTATGTGACAAGGTTCATAACTCTAGCACCAATATTTTCAGATTTATCTCCCCTTGAACTTAGAATTTTCCTTAAAAAATATTATTTTTTAATGTTACTTATTTATTTCTTAAGGGATCAACTTCATACTTCAAATATATGTACCTTATCATTAACCACATGTTATGTGACAAGGTTCATAACTCTAGCACCAATATTGCAAGAATTATCTCCCCATAAACTTAGATTTTTTTACTTGAAAAATGTTATTTTTTACTATAACTTTTTTAGTTTTTAAGGTATCTACCTCAAACTTCAAATACTTATTCCTTATCATCAATTACATTTTAAGTGAAAAGGTTCATAACTCTTGAAGCAATATTTACAAATTTATCTCTCTTTGAACTTAGGATTTTCTTTAAGAAATATTATAACTTCTTTACTTTTTAAGTTATCTACTTCAAACTTCAAATATATATTTCTTATCATAACACACATGTTGTGTGACAAGGTCCATAACTCTAGCGTAACTATTTCCAGAATTATACCCCTTGATCTTGGAATTTATGTCAACAATGTTATTTTTTAAATTAATACATAATTATACATAATTGATTTTTATTTCATAGTTTTGTCTTCTTTACTGCGTACAGTATTTTATTAGTCGAGCTTCGCTGTCTAGCTCCTGTGACAGCTCTTGTTTATGTATGGTTTTGATTTATACTTGGACAAAACAAGGCTTGTCATATTGAATAATTTGGATGTGACTTTGACTTATAATTGGCCCTGATATTGTATCCTTTATCTATTAATTTGGAACATATGCACAGTTTAACCTATTACGCGATATACACGCCTTTTAATGCCCCCCCCCCCCCCATTTTTGTTGTCTCAAATGGTGAAAAAAATGCCTTATTTAGGCCCCCAACACATGTTTTTGTTTGAGAAATGTTGTTAAAAAAAATAACCACTTTTTCGGCGAACCAGAAGATACATCAGGGGGGTTGCCAGAAGGGGGATATGCCCCCTTCTGTTTGGTTTGAAGGGGGGCGGCAGTCCCCCTCATCGCCAAGAAAATTTTGGACTTGTGGGTGGCTAAAAATGACCCCAGATCGATCATAAGCGAACGTTTAACCAACGCTGAAAAGCATTTGCCTCTATCTCAATCCATTGAGAAGTTGCAGCACTTTGAAATCAATTTTGATGGAAAAAATCAACGCAAAATAGTGTTTTTTGGCAATTTTGACATGTCTCCTCATTGCCATGGTAACAGAAAATTTAAGCCTGAGCATGTTGTTTCAAAGCAATGGTCCAGTCAACACTTGAGCCAAGTTTGATAAGTATTGAAGCAGTTTTTTTTATAGTTTTATAGCAATTTGAACTTGTAACGGGAGACCTTTCAATGGAAACAGCCATTTTTCACAAAATGCTCATGAAGTAATGGATTAAGATGTAAAATTGAACTTTGATATCAGCTGGCCTAGGTTTTGACCTAGTGATCTAATTTCTTGTCCATTGATATACAGCTATGAAATTTGGACCATATGCTTAATTTTAGATGCAAAATCGAACATTAATGTCAGCTTACCAAGGTTTTGACCTAGTGACCCACTTTTGTGGGTTTTTTATGTACAGCTATGAAATTTGAACCATGTGCATGGTTTAAGATGTAAATTGAACTATGTTATCATTTGTCCTAGATTTTGACCTAGTGACTTAATTTCTTGTCCCCTACAGCAATGAAATTTGGACCACATGCACAGTTTTGGCTATAAAATTGAACTTTGATATCAGCTGACCTATATTTTGACCTAGTGACCCTCATTCTGGTCCTCTGATGTACAGCAATGGAATTTGAACCAAGTGCACAGTTTTAGATGTGCAATTGAACTTTGATATAAGCTGACCTAGATTTTGACCTAGTGACATACTTTCTTGTTCTTTGATGTGCAGTGGACATGCACAGTTCCAGCTGATCTAGTTTTTAACCTAGTGACCTACTTTCTTGTCGTTTGATTTACAGCTATGAAATTGGACCATGTGCACAGTTAAAAATTTAACATTGAACTTTGTTAATCGCTGATCTAGACCTAGTGACATACTAAGGCTTTTCACTTTTTTTCTATGAATTTCTTTTTATTTCTTTCAACTTTCTATTTGTTTGCTTTTAGAAAAAAATCGTTGCCCCCCCCCCCACCGCCCGGCGGTGGCTCTTGTTTTATATTTGATTCAGAAATATTTTCGGGATTATAGGTAGCTAAGCTTGACATCTTGTATAAAAATGTTTTGTGACAATATCAAGTAAAATAAGACATTTGTCTACCTATAAACTTATTTCAATATTTGAACTAGCCAGATTGGGAATAAAAAAATCTGATTTAAAAGTACTCGGATTTATATGGGATAAGTTCTGAAAGTATTCATGTCAGAAAACTCGCGTTTTGGTACTTTAAATTAGCACGAGTATTACATAGCATTATGCCTCTTTAACAAGTCTCTTGAAATTAACATCTCTTGGTTAAAATTGACATTTTACTGCTCAGAAAGGCCTAGTCTTTAGATATTTGACGTGTAACACAACCTAGTGAAGCTGTTACATTTATGATCAAACCATGGCTCTGTAGACAGGAACTGACTACTTCCCTTTCCTTTTCTGAAAATCGCTTTGTCATAGACCATATAGAATTAAAATTCACTTGGATCAATGCTACTTTATCACGGCTGCAATACGTCATCCATTGTCTTCCTTAAGTATGGTGCTTGTAGTTGGTTAAGCATGAGATGAAAACAGCTGTAATCTTTATTCAAAGGCGCGATAAAAATGGCCATTATTCCCCTTTTGTTTGAGCTATACTGCATATGAAAGAAGATGATAACAAAGTACTTGAACAATGCAAACATACTTAGTCTTATCTATTCTTGTTGACCTAAAAGTACCCATTTCATCATTAACAATACTGTTTTAACCCAGACATCTACTCGCTCACCTTGCATTAAGTAATTTCCCCTTGGCTTCTTGTAACAAATATTTGACTGTTAACATATAATGTGTCCCAATTTTAACATATATTGTGTTGCAATAGAAAGTGTGCACTTGTTTACAAGAAAAATGTATACTTGATGAAATAAAAATAGTTGCATATTTGCACAGAAATACATCCTACATCAAACTCCATGATATTTGATATCAGACTTTGCAGAAATATATTGACAATGCGATGATTAAAGGGACTCCACTGAGGTTTAAAAGCCTAAAACATAACATTTGACTTTCTTACATAAATGAGCTGGGGCACTTTAAACAGACATATATGCAAAGATAGTTAAGAAATATACTTTGAAATAAATTTAAAATCGTATTTTTATGCTTTTCTTAGCCTGATTTGAGTGAAAAGCGTTTAAACGCTTTTCATTTTGGGTCATTTTTTAACAATTGGAATAATTATTCTGGAAAAACGAAGTGCGCGAATGATCTAAAATTTTGCACATACATAGATTATAGTGGTCTAAACCTACATCAAATGGTACATTTATCTGGAAAAAATATTTTCAGTCAAAAACCTCAGTGGAGTCCCTTTAACATGTGAAATTTGATTATATTCGTGTGAACAGCTAAAATAATAGTTGTAAAATTGTGACTTTTGTAAATGCATTTTTGACTTTGATATTTGAATTTTTGATTTGAACATCTTTCAAACCAAAATCAATGTGTTGTTTACGTCAGGTCCACATGCAGTCTCGAACATTCGTTGGTTCATAGATGTGATAAACATAACATATACTATTTACTACTTATTAATGATCACGTATTTTTAATATCAAAATTTTGCAATTAATACTTTGCACCCTTCCGCTTTTTACATGAAACCAAAATTGTGATAATCATCAAATTTCAATTTGTATGGTCAATACATATTTATTTGATCTCAATGTGAAACTTGGCCAGAACTTCTCACTTCCCCTCGGAGCGTGCACGTCGCTGAGAAGGCACAGGGCATCGGCAGATGATTGAAGGACCAATGCTACGTTTAAGGCGGCAAGTTCGCATGTTCTCTACAGCTCGGGGTAACGTTTAAGGCGGCACGACTTAGTTTGCATGAAGTTAGCTGCCGGTGTCCTGACTAATGCCGAGGGGAGTGGCCCTACAAAGTAGGCTGAGACGACGAGGATGGTGTGCTAGGGTGCGTGAGCCCCTAGTACAGATAGACGGCTTGTAAGGCAGGCCTTTTGCTGGCACCAACAGCCCTTTTCAGGGCTACCCTTTCATATTGTCACAGGTTACTGTACATTTAGGTTCTCATTGACCGCCGTACAGTGACCTACTTTTGGCTCAAAATTCATATCTTTGGCTAATACTCCGTGGAAATTGCAGGGAGGTAAATTATCACCACTTTGTGCTTCAAAATTAACTCTTTAAGGGCCTAACTGATGACATGTCCGGGGTCCATACTCGACAGCGAAAGCTGCATTTTGTGCCCGAAAGGGCGGATGAACCCTCATTAAGCATTAACTACATACATACAACTTTTTGACTTATTCTCGGCGGTTTGTCGACCTGTCTTGCTTTCCTGAATAACTCGCCTTTTATTACGTGTTTCTCCGCATAGGAGCGAATAATATATTTAACATAAGTACATGTAGTATTACGTGTTACTTTGTGATGTTACTTTGGTCATTTTTCCGATCATAAAATCACGTCGAAAACAAGTGTTTCTAAATGCATTTTATATCTCATCAATGACGTTATAACTGTTTGAATAAATCGGTTTAAAATCGTTATGTAACGTTCTTGAATCTTGTTTATTGGTGTCAGAGACATTTTCAATAACATAGAATGGTTGTTACATTTGAAATATGGCTCTTTTATCGGAGACGATCATTGCCTTCGCACACAAAGTGTGCCTACTGCAAACAATTATATTTATTACATGTGCTAAAAATTTTCTCGATACAAAATAAATGTGTTTATATTTAATATCAACATTGGTGTAAAGCCTTCACTAGCCTTTAAAATTTTAGAAATAAGCACACCTATCTGCAAAAATTGTGTTCGCTAGAATATTTTTGTGGTCAATCTTTGAATACAGCTCAATCATTTCCTTACGTATCACAGCTAATAGTTCAACAAGGAACGTTTATAAACTGTTACACACGTAACTGACCACTTGCCTGCGATTTTAAACAAATTACTTTTTTTAGACAATAGACAATACAAGAACGTTGTTTTCTCCTACGCTAAAAACGGTAAATAGAAAATTCGAACTTTTGGTAAAAATTATGGAGACTTTGCTTAAAAAAGAACTACATGAGTATGGGATAATACGATGTAAAGCTGTAAGGAAGACAATGGACCGTGTTTGCATAATGTTGCAATGCAAAGTATCAACACAAATAAGTGATGGTAATCTGAAAATCAAACGCTTCAATTGTAACGCCTTAAATCAACCCAGTTGTATTTTGGTATTTGACCTAATAAACCCATGAAAAGATCAAATGTTTATCAATCTATTTACGGACAGACGGGTACTTGGTCCTATTTAAATCTCGGCCTATATGTGCTAGATTTATTTAATTATACAACAAGATTGCAACATTTATAAACATCTTAATAGTTTTTAAGTGACGTTATAAATTTTCTCTTCGGAATAGTCAAGTACACAACAAATCTGCCAGCTATAAATTACATGAAAGTCCTATCGGATTCCTACTTCTCGTGATAGTGATAGGGCGCTATAACAACGCTCACGAGTAAACACATATATAGTTTTGTATTTTTCTCCTGCTTTAGTCTGTGATCAACCAGTCTGAGAGGTAAGTTATTCTCATATGAGAATACATGCAGTATTTTTTTCATTGTTTAATGTAAATAACATACATTCGCAAATGTTTCTAGAAAATTTAACTGAAACATATAATTCATATCTGACAAAAATTATTTAAACTATTATACAAGTAATAATATCGTAACATAAAATTTCAAGCTACATGCATGATTTTGATTTCAATAATCAAGAAATTAAATATAATTATAGAAAATGCAGGTTTGTGCAGTTTACAGTCTGCTGTTTCTGTGCTTAATTGCAGGTTAGTTGATGTTTCATTTTTAGTTCTATATAACTTGCCATATTGTATATAAAACAAATACATTATTTAGTAAATAGTAAAATCAGAACTATATCATAAAACATATATATTTTGCTGAATTTGTAGTTTTTCTTAAGTTTCGATGCCTTTTTCAATTACATACACTTGTGCCTAACCGTTACTCTTAGAATATTCCAAAGTGCGTATTTTTCCTTGTGAAATTCTGGTTAATTAAAATAAATCATTCTGGATATAGGAGAATGAAATTATTTTATAGCACGTAATGGTGACACAGCATCTTCAACGACAACGACAGCAGTTACTGATGCCGCAACTACTGCGGGTGGAACTACTGCGGGTGGAAATGGTGGCGGCTCCACGGCTACAAGTAAGTAAAACTCACTTTTCAAAAATTTAGATACAATGTAGTTATTTTAAGCTGCTTTAAAAAATCTTTTAAGGGTGTTTTTCTTTTAATATATATGACAATTACAATAACAATTGATGAATTGTCAGACTTTTTTTCCAAATCAAGTAGTATATATGTAGTATTATTCAACTTATAAAATTGATAATAACAGTTTCTGATATAAATACAACACAAAAATAAAATATTGATAAAAAAATATTGCAAACTTCATAAAACACATTTTTAATTCGTTTAGATTCCGACGCAACAACTCCTGACGCTACAAGTTAGTTATTTTTCCTTATACAATATTTCAAAAGTGCCATTGTTTTAAAATATACAATTTTTGCCTGTAACTGTCATAATCATGCTGATCAATGAGTAAAATTTAACTCGATATTCGCTCTAAGCAAAATGTTAGAAACCATGATAAAATGTGTTAATTAAAACGGTATAATTTTGAATATTTATTCGTCAAACATATCGTAAAAATAAGAATATGGTTCAATCCTGACAATTATCTCTTTTATTGACAGAAATTGATACATGTATATTGCCCTTTCCGTTTTTAGGAATGCTGAGATTTTTTAAACTTTTGTTTGTTCTGACCTGACATAGAGCTACATTGATTTAAGGAGAAACTAATTTTCAAACAAACTACTGTCACTATGATATATCGACTATAAATATTGCCGTAATCTATAAAAGTTATGCACATTTTTAAACTAATAAACATTTGATCATTATGCTATGTTTCAGTTATAATGTCCAAATGTAATGAAATGATATTAGATTATGCGCGTTTTGCTTAATTATTACCCATATCAATCATGATTTGTTGGTAATGCCGATTTGTTGGTAATGCCTTGGTTACTGCAATGGTTCTTAAATACGAGAATTTGTCGTGATTTTGTTTAGTTAATTAATTAATTATTTTCAAATGAACGAAACGAATTGAATAACTCAGATACTGACGAACAACTATAGTAACAATTAATTACAAAATTAAAATAAATGAAAGTATTGACACTCCGATTTACGAATGATGGACAGACGCTTGAATATTTATTTTTGTTCTTTGGTATTTTCGCATTTACATAAAACATATGTACATGTATCATCAGAATTATGCATTATAATTATGGCATATTTTATTATATAGAAACGGTAAATAAACGGTAAATAAATATTTTCGAGGTAGGTCAGATATTCATTTTGTTTTTGTTCATGTGTTTTTGGACGAAATCTTTGTAAACCTGTTGCCCTGTACCTTATTTATTTTGTTATCAATTGTCACTATCACAACATCTTGTATTGTCTTCCAATTTGTCATATATATTAATGCATAAAATCTTCTTCGCTTAATTCTGATATATTTTAAATAAAATTTTCCACGTTAGATTATTGTACAATCTTTCATTTAAAATGTCTTTGAGAAAGAATTGTTGAGAGTGAAACACTAGTTTTTTTTAACATTTATATTAAATATTTACTTCATTTATTACCTCTTTTTGCTTCGATTTACAAGTTATAATACGAGAAAAAGATTTTGGGGCAGAACTATAAGACTGATGACATTGTCTGTAATAAAGTGTCCATTTAGTTCATTTATGATGACGTGTATGATTTTTTTCTTCACTTTATTTGTCGCCAGGTGCTGATCCGATGGCAACAACAACTCCTTCAAGTGCTATTGGTAAGATATTTGCTTTCACAGTAGTTACTTGTTGACCATAGTATAAATGAATTTATGTAAACTATGGTCAACACAATAATAAAGGTATATAGTATACACGGACTCTGGACGTTGTGACAGACGTACAGAAATTTTCCATTCCGTTGTAGGTTGGACATTGGGTAAGACGGCATAAAACAAACTACTACTGTAGTAGGAATTGGCTAAGGCTTAGGCTATGGTTTAATATGAAACATGTGTTTAATTATTATTGTGGACATACAAAAGTGTAATTATTTTGCAAGTGCTCGAACATTCCAACTGGTCTTATTCTACAAGATATTTAAGTCAACTTGGTCATTGAATATTTGGAACCATGAGTATACGAATGCAAGCACTTTCTGTGATTTCTTATCTTTTTTAATAGTGTGCACGAAACACGATTGGTTATTTTTTTCATCCGTAAAATATATTAAGTTGAAGACAGTATGCATTTCATGTGAACTTGTATGCTATGCTTTTATATGCAATGCACAAGACATTCTACAAGCAAAAAGCATGTTCACTTAGGTCAATAAGGACAAAGTTAGTGTTTTTCCTCCTTTTCTTTGTCATCAGCTTTGTGTCCGGTTCCGGTGCTACACGTAAGATTTTCCTTTGCAGAATGTTTGATGCATTTTGAAAATTCTTTATTTTTCAACAAAAGATCACAGATAAAGTTTTTTTAATAATGAAAATTATTTTCGAATAAAACATTGATGACATAAGCACATGTTGCTTGATTCACATTTGACGATGCCTCTGCAAAACAGCCTTTCTGGCCACATTTTGACAAAAGATGTACCACTTGAAATGATATACTTTTGCGATATAAGAAGCTCACTGTGCGGATATAAGCATTTTTTCTTAGCTTAATGGTACAGATGAACATTATACAAGAGTTGAAATATTCTACTACATACATTTATAATAAGGCGAGAAAAATAAATTATGTAATCTATATAATTTATTTAATACAGTGGATGACTGACACGTCATGAAAAAACAAAGTATGTCAGAAAATGAAACATATATATTCTGTTATTACCTGACATTGTGATTATGGCTAAATATGACGTATCTCACCCAGAAACTACTGAATTAACTCTACATATATTTATAAAGAGTTATGATTCATGTGGCACATTTTCATGATCGTACATGCCAAAAGTTTTTAACAATCAACTTACAAATGATTAAAGTACATATTAGACAACAAGTCAGACAGATGGACAGACTAGTATGCCGTTTCTGGCAATTCTAACAGAAGTGGGTAGGAAATTGGTATATGATGATATAATACAGCTTTCATTTTTTAAAGCTGCGATATTCTATAACTCAACATGTTTAACATGGTTATTATATGAAACATATTTGTAATTAAATGTATATAAAACTGTGTATTTTAAATACTTTTACAAATTACATGTATATGCACAACATTCTACATTTTTAATGAAATTTAGAAATTATGGCTATATAAAAGAAAGTCGGATCCTGTCTGTGATGTGTTTATCCTTACACTAGTGTAACTGATGATATACTGTGAAAGTCCTCCTTCATTCACCATATACGTATCGCATTGCTTGTAGATACTTTAATATATGTGCCATTCTTTACACTTAGTAAAGCCCCGCAGCTGAATAATATAGAATTCAGATGAACAGACTACTCCTGGTTTTTGGGGAGCGTTCGTCTGTATTTAGTCACAGACACTTGGGGTTTGGAGCTCAAAACGCCTTTAAAATCCAAATAAAATGCATATTTGTCAATCCCAGCACATGTAGTGATCATATATATCAAAAAAACTTAATATAAGCCGTTTTGAAAAAATTTCATATTTCAACATCTATAATATATGTATTATTATAGATGTTGAAATATGAAATTTTTTCAAAACGGCTTATATTAAGTTTTTTTGATATATATGATCACTACATGTGCTGGGATTGACAAATATGCATTTTATTTGGATTTTAAAGGCGTTTTGAGCTCCAAACCCCAAGTGTCTGTGTATTTAGTTATAAAGTGCCCATTGCTTTCCCTTAACCTTTTACCCCATGAGCATATTGCGAAAAAATGGCCATTTTCATTGAAAAGTCTCCTGTAACAAGTTCAAACTGCTATGAAACTATGAAAAATGCTTCAATGCTGATGAAACTTGGCACAAATGTTAACTAGACCATAGCCTCTGTAACAGCATGCTCAATCGTAAATTTCCTGTTACCATGGCAACGGGGGGACGTCTCAAAAATGCCAAAAATCACTATTTTGCGTTGTTTTTTTTTTCCATCAAAACTGATTTCAAAGTGCTGCAACTTCTCAATGAATTGAGATAGAGTAAAAGGCTTTTCAGCGTCGGTTACTAGTTACCCTAAGATCGACCTGAGGCCATTTTAGCCTGTCACATGTCCACAATTTTCTTGGCGATGAGGGGGACTCCGCCCCCCTTCAAACCCCCCAAACAGAAGGGGGCACATCCCCCTTCTGGCAACCCCCTGATGTAACATTTGGATGGGGGACGGCGCCGAAAAAGCGGTCACTTTTTTAACAACATTTCTCAAACGAAAAACAGTGTTTGGGGCCTAAATAGGGCATTTTTTTCAATGTTTGAGGCCTCAAAAAGGGGGGGGGGCAAAGAGCCGTCGAAACACGCTTATATAAGGGAAAAGGTTAATCATGTGATACGACATATAACATTCAACATTTAAATTAATAATACATAGCTCAAAATATATTTTAATTGTTATGTACTTATGTCCAAATTTATCATTTCAGCTTGTCGTTCAACTACGAAACTTCTCTTAGCAGTCGGAGTGTTAGCATTTGTCTACAATAAAGTTTAATGTGACAACGAAACAAAAAACGGCAACACTTTTTACATATATACCAAGAATTCTTTTCTATGAACTATTGTTACTTCAATATTATTTATGCATTTGTTTGTTATATTACATGTGTAATGACGAGACTGGACACGATATGGTCTGTTTCTGAATAGAACACATGAAGTATATAATAAACTTAAGTTCTTCAACTTGCCTTGTGTGTTCTTAACTATCAACAGACGAAAACTATTTCCACTGTATTATTATTTCTTGTAATGCCGATGTAAGATTATGCCCGCCATGTTTCCAACCGATTGTGTTATATAAATAATATCTGTCATATATTGCGGTTCAGACGAAGGGACAAGCCAATGAGAGGGTACCCGAGGGATGGATATTCCGATCCGAATCGCAGTCATGTCAGATATCTTTTCATGCATATTCTAACATATTCCATCATATTTTAAATTCTTTATCTTGATAAAAACAATTGTCCATGAAACTTTATGTCATTTATCCCGTGACAACAGCGTATGAAATTAAAACTTCTTTCATAACGACAAAATTACGTCACCATAAGCTTGCCATTGTATAGCATGTAACTCATCTGGTACCCCACATGTCAGATGAAATTTTCGGCATGAGTAAAATTAATGGAAAAACCAGTCTGATATCAAGAAATTACGTTCTTGCTCGGAGCATATATGTCCGATTTGAAAACAGCAGTAAGATGTCTTCTTTAAAAACATTTACTGAAAAAAATACAGTTGCATACAACACCACTAGAACACCGCGAGTCGGGTCTGTCGCCTTGAGAACAGTTTAGCTGTTACTTAGGCATATTCTTTTTAAATATTGGTTATTTATAAAAACTGTTTTTACAATGTACGTGTACCTTTAACTTTAGTGGCATTTGAACTAACTGTAACAATGTAACATCAGGATTAATAAAACTGTTATATTATCAAATGGAAAAGTTTTACACCGACAGATCAAATGGAGGACTCTGTGATGGATTTTTTTAAGCACTGCACTTCAGGTCAATGAAAAGGCCATATTTGGAGTCAATCAAACTTATAGTGACTAGGTTATGCCCTGGACAAGTCAATAAAGTAAGAAAATTAACAAAGGGCAATAAATAACTCAAAATTCTTGAAGTGCAGAGGACAAGTTCTTGTGCACTGCACTTTTTTCAATGAGATCTATCATCCTATTAAGTTTCAAGTCAATAGCTTTTAAAATGTAGGAGAATTGGCCGGGACAAAAATAAAGTATTACAATTAACACAGAGCAATAACTCTAAAATCATGAAGTACAGAGTACCGGTTCTTGTGCACTGCACTTCTTCTCAATGAGATCTATCCTCCTATGTTTCAAGTCCATAGCTTTTATAGTTTAGGTGAAATGGCTGGGACAAAAATAAAGTATGAAAATTAATAAAGGGCAATAACTCAAAAAAAGAAGTACAGAGTACCAGTTGTTATGCACTGTACTTCTTAATGAGATCTATCATCCTATGAAGTTTCAAGACCATAGCTTTTATACTTTAGGAGTAATGGCCCGGACAAAAATAAAATATGAAAATTAACAAAGGTCAAAAACACAAAAATTAAGAAGTGCAGCATGACGATTCTTGTGCAATGTACTTCATGTCATGGTAAGAAGCATGTATACAAAGGAGTCAATCTGACTTATAGTGACTGATTTATTCTCCGTACAAGCTTAAGGGGACACTGACAACGACGACATCCAAACTAACCCCTATATGTCGCCTTTTTCAAGGCGACACAATAACCAGCAACAAGTATTGTAATCAACTGACTAGTGTATCAATATTTGTGACCTTTATCATGTGCAATAGGACATATTGTGCTGGCCTCAGTTTCAAGCCCAGGATAGTTTTTTGTCCTGTTTGTACAGGTAAAGATAATGTCACTGCCAGGACAACAAGAATCAACACTAACAATACTAGTAAGAAGAATGTTATTACCTGAAGAGTGGTTTGATTTCACCTCTTACAAGAGCAACAAAAACAGGTACACCTATACATGATGGAACCAGGTATCATTGGGCAGGCTGAAATAAATCGTAATCTTATATTATACCAGCTTGAAAACCTTTCACACATGACAATGATATAGTTCACCAATGTACATTTTTTTTACTTTATTTTTGTCCCGGCCATTTCAACTCAACTATAAAAGCTATGGACATGAAACCACCGGAATGGCGGATGATAGATCTCATTGAGATGAAACACAGGGCACAAAAAGCGGTACTCCAAGATTTTTGAGTTATTGCCCTTTGTTCATTTTCTTACTTTATTTTTGTCCCGGCCATTTCACCTAAACTGTAAAAGCTAAGGACGGACTTGAAACTTCATAGGATGATAGATCTCATTAAGAAGAAGCGCAGTACACAAGACCCGGTACCCTGTACTTCATGATTTTAGAGTTATTGCCCTTTGTTAATTATAATACCTTATTTTTGTCTCGCCAATTCTCCTACACAATAAAAGCTATTGACTTTAAACTTCATATGATGATAGATCTCATTGAGAAGAAGTGTAGTGCATAAGAACTTGTTCTCTGCACTTCATGATTTTAGAGTAATTGCCCTTTGTTAATTTTCTTACTTAATAGACTTGTCCAGAGCATAACTTGGTCTGACTACAAATTTGGTATGTAAGCTTTTTTCATTGACCTGAAGTGCAGTGCTTAAAGATCCATCACAGAGTCCTCGATTTGATATGATGTAACATTGTTACAATCAGTTCAAATGCCACTAGAAAACTGAAACTTTCGAGACTGCTTTAGTATGTGCTAATCGAAGGAAGACACTGCACAGTCTTTGCTTTATATGGTGCAATGCAACAAGTGATGGCATGTGAAAATCAAACGCTCCGATTGAAACGCCTTAGATGAACCCTGTTGTAATTTATGACCAAAAAATAAACCCAAACAAACAAAAAAAAAACCAACGCATATCTAAAATGTCGGAAAAGATCATTGACCACTTTGTGGATGTTTATCATTCTAATTACGATGTTCTTTTTTGAATATGGGTTGCCGTTGACAGCACATTTAAATCTCAGCCTTTATGTGCTAGATTTATTGATGAATTATAGTCGAGTTATAGAAGAATGTCGACGAAGTCCAAGTTGGCCCAAAACTCGTTTAGTTAAATTTATCAACAAATCAGTTTACTAATAGATATACAGTTTACATGATACAAGGCTGATAAGTTAAATTAAATAGATAAACATAATTCCAAAGTCCATATTAAAACAAAACAACAACAACAACAACAAAACAAGCAAAAGCAAAACATTTAAGGATACTGTCATTGCTATTATTCTACATTTTCTTCTATATATGTAGCATATGTGTACTTGTGCACCTATGTCATGCAAAATGTCGTCAAGCTTGAAACAATCCGTCATATGTGTACTCGTTCTGCGCATACCTACCGGAAGGCGAAACCCGAAACAATGTCATTGTCGTTACTTTGACTACACGAAAATCTGCCGTATTTTCGTTATTTCGACCTCCGCATTTCTCGGCTTCGAAGAGGCGCGGACACGAAAGATTTCGCCCCGCTTAAACGAATACTTAAACAATGAAATTTTCGTCCCTTCGCGTGTTAAAGTTTCTTTATTTCGCCTAGAATGTGTCGTGTTTTCGTGTCTTCGCCGAAATGCGAAAGTCGAAATAACGACAAATAGGTATGTTTTCGTGTCTTCGCCTTTCGAGACACGAAAACACGAAATGGCAGAAAACAGCCACCATATGATAGTGATAGGGCGCTATAACAACGCTCCGAGTCAACACATTTATAGTTTTGTATTTTTTCGACCGCTTTAGTCTGTGATTAACCAGTCTGAAAGGTAAGTTATTCACATATGAGAATACATGCAGTATTTTATTTCATTGTTTAATGGAAACAAAATACAATCGAAAATGTTTCTAGAAAGTTTACCTGAAACAACATATAGTTCATATCTGACATGACAAATTATTTAAACTATTACACAATGTACTAGTATTTGTAAATATCGTAATCGAAATTTTCAAGCTACATGCATGATTTTTCATTTCAGTAATCAAGAAATTAAATATAATTATAGAAAATGAAGGTCAGTGCAGTTTTCAGTCTGCTGTGTATGTGCTTAATTGCAGGTAAGTTGGTGTTCCATTATCGGTTCTTTATTGCTTGCCATGATAAATATAAAACTAACACATTGTTTAGTTAAAACAGAACTATTGAAAAACATATATATTTTGCTAAAGATGTAGTTTTTATTAAGTTTCGATGCCTTTTTAACGGTTAAATGGTTTTATGGTCCAATTACATACAACTGTGATTTATCGTTACTTTAGAACCTAGTTCTACAAAGTGCGTATTTTTCCTTGTGAAATTTTGGTTAATTAAAAGAAATTATTCTGGATATAGGAGAATAAAATTATTTTACAGCACGTAATGGTGCCACAGCAGCTACAACGACAACGACTACCACAACTGATGCCACAACTACTGCTGTTGGAAATGGTGGCGACTCGACGACTACAAGTAAGTAAATCTCACTTTTTTAACATTTAGATGCAATGCAATTATTTTAAGCTGCTTTTAAAAATCTTTTAATGGTTCTTGATGTTTTGGGGAGTTTTTATATAGACATATATGCAAAATGAAAACTGTTCAATAGGATTTCTTTAAACTGGGCATGTTGTTAGAATATGATAACAGAAACATTTTAAACGGTAAAAAATTGGGGTAACCGTTCTCTTTTTTTTTAGTTATCTGCCCCTGAATTAGAATTTTCTACTTATTATTTTGAGGTCATTTCAAGGGCATATAATTAATACATACTTAAATGAATTTTTGTTTTTACTACTGGATTTTGTTTTTCGTACAATACATAATAACAAACAATTTCTTATTTCTTTTGTGTTATTTTTTAATAAACTTTGAGACATTTACTGGTCATCAAGATTATTATGAAATACTGCAATACCAGCTAAATATTTGGAAATTAACTTAAGTGTTGAGTAAATAAAGATTACATTCTTTGTTCTTACATGTAAAATGGTAAGTATTTGTATATGTTTATGAAAATATAAGCATTTAAAGTTTTGAATCAAGGTAGACAACTCTTGTCGGCCATTTTGATGCTTTTTATCGTGTGCCTATTGAAGTTTTTAAAGTTTACCTACGTGGAATTTTGAGGAAAGTGTATAAGATGGCGGAGGAGTTTGAAGTAAGTATGTATTAAAGTATATTTTTATAGAATTAATCAAAGGGATACTTAGACAATTGAATGACAAAAATATTCTCTAAAGTCCTAGCATGAATTTCTGTATAAATACTATATAATTTGGGTTTGAAGCGTAATTATATTTTCATATATTGAACGAAATTAAGACGCCGACAGACTCAACGAGTAGTTTTAAAACAAATCATATAACTGGAAACCCCTCTCAGATATTCTGGATACAGTATTGTTAGATTGAAATAAGTCTTTAGTAGTCATTCATTCGACAGATAGCCTTCTTTAACGTTTTCTTAGTTCTCTATAACAGCTATTTTGACCCACGTGGGTCAAGTTGGGAAACCACCATTTTATTCTTTATAAAGAGAAAAGTTTTGTTCCTCTGTAGTGTTTTCATTTCGAGGATATTTATAGAATATTGAAAGAAAAATTCAATTCGTAGAAATGAAAATTTTGTCTGTGTCTCCCTACACTAAAGAATTGAAAAGCATTAACTAGTACCATATCACAGGAACTTGAAATTATATCAATATTAACGATAATATGCAAAATATACCCCATATAATATAAAAAGTGTTTATTTATAGTATATAGGGGGTATGTTAGGATATTATCATTAATATTGGTTATTTGATAGAATTTCAAGTTCCTGTGACCATAATTATGCAGAGACATAGATAACAGAGATAAGCAGCTCCTATATATACTCCATTGAAATATCACTCATGCCTATCAAAAAGTGAAAAATTAGGCATTTTGTAGCAAATAAAACATAATGGATGTTCATTTGATCCTTTAATATTATATACCATTTTGAAAGGTAAATCTTTTATCTATTGCTGCATGTTAAGATATTGGTAACTTTTCCATGTCTTTCACTAAGAAAAACATAGCAGAACATACCCACTGAGTCTGTTTTTTTCGTTATTTGAATAGTTTTGTAACAAAAATTATTAAATAGTTCTCTTTTAAAAATTGATGTATCATAAATTTAAATGGGAACTGTGAATATTTTGACCTGCAGCCATAGACAAATGCATAAGCTTTCAGAAAATGTATTATATTTTACTGATTTTGTTATCTGGTTAATAAGTTTTACTTGCTACAAGTTTTCAGTTTAGCAGGCACGTGTGATATTTTAACTGGCCATGAAGTTGCCAATCTCTGTTATCTATGTCTCTGCCATATGTTATCTATTCAGGTTATCATGATTTTTTACCGTTATTATAAAGATCGTTGCTTTAATAAGGTTCAAATACGCTGTTTTTACCTCTATCTGCAAGGTACATTACGCTCAATCTGTCAAGTTGAGTTCATTTGACTATATATTTAAAAAGATTGACTATTATAATGACCATTGAACAATAGTTGATTATGAAATAAAATATGATAAATTGCCTGAAATATAAAAGGCCTGCCCCACTCTTTTTATCAACGGAGCATTAACAACATATTCCGAAGGATATCTATAGAAATTATTGTGATTCATTTGGTTATTGATTATTCACATGGACTATTATCTATAATTTAAGATTGAAACCTATTATGAAAAAATCTCAAGTTTTTTTTTACTTTGACCTTTTCACTCAACATTTATACTTGGATATGCATAATGTCACTTTAATTTATGTTTAACTAAGGATTTTTTTGTGTTATTTCATAGGTAATGAGGGTATACGGCGTAGTGTTGCCACACATGACACAGGAGAAAAGTTTGTCCCTTCAGTCAGAATGTAAGTTTGCCTCTCTCTTTTCTCACCAGATGGGCACAATATACTTTTAACCCTGCGTAAAATCCAGACTGGATGACATCCTACAGCAACTCAACTTCCTGAATGACCAAGGTCAAACGATAGGTCCTGGATCCGGTTGTTCAAAACATTGGTTAGTGTTAACCAGTGGTTAAATTCATTATCCTCTGGTTAAATTTTGTCCGTTGGATAAGTTCTGTTGCTCAAAACTTATCCAACGGATAAAATGCGTTATCCAGTGGTTAACTTTAACCAGTCCGAGGACCACCGGATAAAGCCCTTAACCAGTGGTTAGCCATCATCATTAAAACAGTCTAAAAACCATTAAAATTTGGTTTGAAACCAGATTTTTCTTACAAATATATGTTTATTTTGTCTTAACTAGAAACGATTTCATATTGAAAATGCATTAGGATTTAATTTGAAAACATTTTCTGAAAAAAGTGCTTTTAGAACCCCTTTCAACCTGATTTGTTGTTGTTGTAGTTTCAGAAAAAATTCAGTTTAAACCGTCATAACTTTCTTTTTTTTAATAAAACATACAAGTGTCAGTACTCATTTTCTTAGTTAGAACATTACCCATCTAATGGAAAGTAATTTCAATTCAAAAATTTGAAAAAATTGTTTTGAATTTTTTACCTATGTGTGTCTAAGGGAAAATTAGATCTATCGATACTTTTAGGCCTTTGATATACTTTTGCTTTATTCCAAAACATGAAAAGCACAAAACATTTTCAAAATTAAGTCTTTGGAGCTTCCTGACTATTAGAAGATTATTACTCATCAATAAATCAGCCATTTTGTTTCCAGAATCACTAACCATCCCTGTTGCATTGTGGTACTTAACCAGTGGATAAATACGCAATCCACTGGTTAGGTAGCCAGGGTACTATCCAACTGCCGAACAATGAAATTTTATCCACTGGATAGCTGGCCGCTGGTTAAGGTTTTAACCAGTGGATAAGCTATCCATTGGTTAATTTTAACCAATGTTTTGAACAACCCGGTCCAGGTGGTAAAGGGACACACGGACCTGACGCTGTGCTGTCGATGGTAAACTGGACATTGCAGAATCAAGTTAATAAGACTCCTGCCTTGTCGATACAGGAAACCCTTTCTAGATATTTTTCAAGTATAAGGTAAACTATCTTTATCGCATTCAAATGAAAATATTTTAAATGAAAATGTTGTTAACTTTAAAGTCGGATTTGCTGTACCATAGAAAGAGAAAATATCTTATACATGGAAGTGAAAGGGTGTATTGTTTACCAGTAACTCTAATTTACTTTACAATAACATGAAGTCAAAAATGTCCATACCGTATAATTAGAACGTATTCATGGTCCTTAAAGATTATATTTAAGCCGAATCTAGTAAAATATTTTAACATTAGATAAATTTTATATCATTCCTTCTATAATTTAATTAAATTTATAGGTTAGGATGGTCTTAATTTTTATTATTTTACAAACTGATTGTAACAGTATGTGAAATTCCGTCACGTGACCATGTTTACGGAGCTGTCCAAGTTGTTCCATTCTTTTAACTAAAATATTTTTAAATGTGCAGAGAATAACATTAATATTGTTGATTTATAGAGGCATATTAGGAAATAAGTTTGTAACAGTTGTCATTACGGATATTTATCGTTTTCTTTTGATAGAAAATTCCAGCACATTCGGTTCCAGACAGACACACTGGGTGCGGTGATGGCCAGAATAACACCCGAAAGCGAGAAAAAGTTGATTTAAGTCTCGAAGTAACGAGGATTCCGGTTCACTTCAGGTGTCCGTCCATGAGTTATTACGCCTGGGGTGTCAATAGAGCGCAATAGATATTTGGTGCGAAGTGTGCGAGCGTTCGTTAGTCAAGACAATCAATCTTATTATGCACTGTTAGAACAGTTTAGTGATTATATATATATATCAAACTATTTGTTTCTGTGTTCATCATACGGCATTATTGAATTGTTTTGCAATTTTCTACACTGTTATGTTCTAAAGAATAAAAAAGCAAACGTAGAATTTTGAAATTAACAATTTATTTATGACTTTTATAGTCGTAAAGACCTTAAACGTTAAAATACGTATATACTATTGTTCGTGTCTTTCTTTGTATTGGGTATATACTTAACAATTTGTCTGCTGACTGGATGATTCAACCTATGCGACCAGTGCATACAAAAACCCACCAACACACCTGTGCCTTCTGATCGTGGTCTTCAATAATTGCTTTTCAGTCAGTGCATATTTTGAAAAATTCCAGTAAAGATGATGCATGGTTTTGTCCAGATTAAAGATATTAAGCATGGTAATGATTAAAATACAAATGATTAGCCGTGTATGACACGCTCGTTCGTGTTGTTATTACGTTGCTAAGCAACGAGCATAGTCGCCATTAGCAGAAGTCTCTTATTTACATAACTTTATTACTAATCTATCGCCGTTGCTTTCTTGTAATTTATTTGAATGATTTGCATGATTATTTTGCAAATAGTAATAGTATAAAAGGTGTAACATTTAATGAAGAAGTACTTGGCATTGTGAAATTGTTTATTATTCTATATGCTGACGACACTGTTATTTTATCTGAGTCAGCAAACGATTTTCAAATTGCTAGTAGCCTATATAAAAGTTACAGTGACAACTGGAAATTAACAGTGAATACATCTAAAACAAAAGTTCTTGTATTTTTAAAAGGTAGGCGAATGCAGTATAGTTTTACATATGGTAATGAAAATCTAGAGGTTGTCGAGGAATTCAAATATCTAGGAGTATTATTTAGTAGAAGTGGTAGTTTCTTAAAAGCAAAGACTTATATAGCTAACCAAGCAATAAAAGCCTTGTATTGTTTCATTGAAAAATAAAAAAAACAACTTCAATTACCTTTGAATATGCAAATAGATTTGTTTGACAAACTTGTAAAACCAATTTTACTATAAGGTTGTGAATGCTGGGGATATGGTAATAACAGTATACTTGAAAAGGTACAATTGAAATAGCTTAAACATATATTAGGTCTTAAATCTAGTACACCAAATTGTATTGTGTACGTCGAATGTAGTGTTAAACCAATTTCTATTGATATTGATTGTAGAATGATTAATTTTTGGTCTAATCTAGTTGTACCTAATGAACTAAAACTATCTAGCACATTTTATCAAATTGCTCTTAAAACTTATAATACAAGTAGTAATGTTAATAGACATACATTTCTGTGCTTTAAGCATATTAAAAATATACGTGTCAAATGTGGAAACCCCAATGTATGGACCTATCAGATGTTTCCTAATCATAAGCGGTTAGTTGCTAATGTGAAGCAAAAATTGTCAGATTTATTTCTAAATGACTGGTTTTGTACAGAATCGAGTAAATGTAAAAATTATAAATTAATTCATTGTAGAAATAGCATACACATGAAAAGTATAATATTAATACAATTCATCTTAACAAAATTCCATTTCGAACCCTATTTAACAAATACACCAAAAAAACTTACTAAGATATGTAACAACAAACAGCAGCCTTCCTGTAGAAACCGGAAGTTTGAATGGTATAGATTTAAATTTACGTAAATGTACACTTTGTAACAGCTCCGGAAGTATTGGAGATGAATCCCATTATCTCTTTAAGTGCAATGAATTATCTGTACTAAGAAAAAGAATGTTAGATCGTAAGTATGTACGACATCCAAATTTTATTAACTTTTTAATCTATTATGAATATGAATATAAGTCATTGTAATGAATAAAATAATTTTTTTTATTTGTTAAAGAAAATGTCACAAAATTTGATAATAGATTTCTACATACACTTAACGAAACTTATAAGTACTCCGATTTCAAACTTGCAGGAAAACTCCGGTTTTCAAAATATATACTTAAGGAAAATGTCAAAAAATTTGATAATAGATTTCTACATATTTGTTCATCATGTCCTTGAAAATGCGCCTCCTTCTCCATTTTGATAAGATGAATTGTCTTAATATTATTATTTTCATGTGTATGATATGCCTCTTTATGCAAAGTATGCTAATATGCTATAGAACATATTGTCATGTGTGTACATGAATTGAGTTCTGAAATAAACTTTGAAACTAACTTTTTTACAGTTAGATCAAACTAATTGAGTTGATTTAAGATAAATAAAATTGCCGCTTTAAAATTCTTTAATTAATAAATTCGACGTCATTTCTTAATAAAGTGTTCAAATATATGACGTTCTTTAAATAGGTATATCTCAATAAATAACCTTTTGATTTAAAAATAGTTTTCTCTATCTTATTCAGAAGGAAAATCTCTACAAAAATGAGATAAAAACCAAATTTCGAAAAAAAATGTCATTAAGACCGGTTTTTCGCGTCGTGCGTCTAAAGAATTTCAAGGTTGAAACTATATTAATAATACATAGTTCAATATTCTCATTGTTATGTACTTATTTTGTCCAAATTTATCATTTCAGGTTGTCGTTCAACTGCGGAACTTCTCTTGGCAGGCGGATTGTTAGCATTTGTTTACAATAAAGTTTAATGTGACAACAAAACAAAAAACGACAACACTTTTTACCTATATACCAAGAATTCTTTTCTATGAACTATTGTTACTTCAATATTATTTATGCATTTGTTTGTTATATTACATGTGTAATGACGAGACTGGACACGATATGGTCTGTTTCTGAATAGAACACATGAAGTTTATAATAAACTTAAGTTCTTCAACTTGCCTTGTGTGTTCTTAACTATCAACAGACGAAAACTATTTCCACTGTAATATTCTGTATTATTATTTCTTTTAATGCCGACCGATTGTGTTATATTAATAATATCTGTCATATATTGCGGTTCAGACGAAGGGATAAGCCAATGAAAGGGTACCCGAGGGGTGGATATTCCGATCCAAACCGCAATCATGTCAGATATCTATTCATGCATATAGTTCATCATATTTTAAATTCTTTATCTTAATAAAACAGTTGTCCATGAAAATTTATGTCATTAATCCCGTGACAACAGCGTATGAAATTAAAACTTCTTTCATAACGACAAAATTAGGTCACCCTAAGCATGCCATTGCATAGCATGCGACTCATCTGGTACCCCACATGTCAGACGAAATTTTCGGTATGAGTAAAATTAACGGAAACACCAGTTTGATGCAATAATTTAAGAAATTACGTTCTTGTTTGGAGCATTTATGTCCGATTTGAATACAGCAGTAAGATGTCTTCTTTAAAAACTATTACTGAAAAAATACAGTTGTATACAACACCACTAGAACACCGCGAGTCGGATATGTCGCCTTTAGAACAGTTTAGCTTTTTAAATATTGGTTATTTATAAAAACTGCTTTTACAATGTACATGTTCCTTTAACTTTAGTGGCATTTGAACTAACTGTAACAATGTAACATCAGAATTAATAAAACTGTTATATTATCTAAATTAGAAATACCATGGAAAAGTTTTTCACTGACAGATCAAATGGAGGACTCTGTGATGGATTTTTAAGCACTGCACTTCAGGTCAATGAAAAAAGCTTACATACCAAATTTGGAGTCAATCAAACTTATAGTGACCAAGTTATGCTCTTGACAAGCCCATAAAGTAAGAAAATTAACAAAGGGCAATAACTCAAAATTCTAGAAATGCAGAGGACAAGTTTTTTATGCACTACACTTCATAGGATATCATCCTATGAATTTTCAAGACAATAGCTTTTAAAATGTAGGAGAATTGGCCGGGACAAAAATAAAGTATTACAATTAACACAGAGCAATAACTCTAAAATCATGAAGTACAGAGTACCGGTTCTTGTGCACTGCACTTCTTCTCAATGAGATCTATCCTCCTATGTTTCAAGTCCATAGCTTTTATAGTTTAGGTGAAATGGCTGGGACAAAAAAAAAGTATGAAAATTATAAAGGTCTATAACTCAAAAATTAAGAAGTGCAGCGTGACGATTCTTGTGCAGTGCACTTCAGGTCATTATAAGAAGCATGCATACCAAGTTTGGAGTCAATCTGACTTATAGTGACTGACTTATTCTCCGTAAAAGCTTAAGGGGACGCTGACAACGACGACGATAAAAGTAAACCCTGTATGTCCTCTTTTTTCAAGGCGACACAATAATCAGCAACAAACAAGTATTGTAATTAGCTGACAAGTGTATCAATATTTGAGCCGTGTCACGACAAAACCAACATAGTTGGTTTGCGACCAGCATGGATCCAGACCAGCCTGCGCATCCGCACAGTCTGATCAGGATCCGTGCTGTTCGCTTACAAACTCTATAACAAGTAGAGAAACTGATAGCGAACAGCATGGATCCTGATCAGCCTGCATGGATGCGCAGGCTTGTCTGGATCCATGCTGGTCGCAAACCAATTATGTTGGTTTTGTCATGACGCGGCTCATTTGTGACCTTTATCATGTGCAATAGGACAGATTGTGCTGGCCTCTCTCAAACACATCAGTTTCAAGCCCAGGATAGTTGTTTGTCGTGTATGTACAGGTAAAGATAATGTCACTGCCAGGACATCAAGAATCAACACTAACAATATATGATGTCATGCTTCTTTATTTAACTATTAATATCTTTTATAATTTAAATAAATCTCATTGCACATACATGCCTTAATTTACAACAGTTAGCTACAGTGTTTACTGTATGAAATACATCTATGATGAAACCGGGTGTTTTAAAATATAAATTTAATATTTAAATGTTGAGACATTGATGAATGTGGTATGTTACTTTTCTTTTGTGTTTTACAATGTTTTAAGGTCGACTCTGAATGCTATAATAAAAAGAAATGAATACAAAGATACATATATTTACATAATAAATGATGAATACAAATACAACTGTTTTTCTTTGAAATTACTATTTTAAATGAATAGCACTTACTAAATGTGTAATGTAACACCTACTGAATTTATATGATATGACAATTATTTATATGGACTAGATAAACGAAAATCTTTAAACTTTCAAATAAATAATTCACTAGTGTTTATATCTTATTTAAATAAATACTCTTGGATATTTTGAAAACAAGGAGAACCCTCATGGAAAATGAAAACTAGTTTAAACAGAAGTACAAATAGAAGATAATTGGTAAAAATTTGATTAAGTCTGTTAAATGTTGAAGGGGTAAGGTATATTTCTTGTGTCCAATATCAACAGGTACAGAAGTCTTCAATATTCAACACGGAAAATATTGGAATCGTGGATAAAAAAGAATTACAAAAATTATAACCAAACAAACAATACTGAGATGAAACTTTGTACATTTTGCAACAACATTTATAACCTATTGGTGTGAGTAAAAATTCTGGATGAAGCTTTATCAAACAACTTTACTAGACTGGACTACAATTTCTTCTTTATAGCAATTAAATAAGATGATACTGAATGAGACTTAGTTCAATACTGAATTTATTGAACAAGTTGAATAAAATTATATTATGCCAGCCTCTGGCAAGCACAATATTATTATATAATGATTTCAATAAATTCAGTAATGAACTTACACAAATCTAATATTCTATTCGTACACATACCTAAAATAAACAGTGTTTAAATTGAAAAAGACAGCCATTAACATATAACAATAAAGTTTAAAGAATATATTAATAAAGAAAATACCCAAGTTATTAACATTTACCAGACATACATAGTTAATAACAAGTACTCGTCCTTTCATTCATGAATATAAGATAAAAGACAAGTAAAAACACAGGCTGCCATAATGTGATCTGTTCAAGCTAAAAATGAGAACTTTGCTCGACCTGTATCAAGAAAACTGTCGAGATTCTAATTAAAATCCAGAATTTCTATGTTTTTTTTTTTAAATATTTCAATTCAACATACATAGCAATTCTGAAATTAAATTTGAATGAACAAACAATAATGATATGATAAAAAAAGCCCATGTACAAAAAATAGGTTCCAAGTGATTACTATATTTAAAAGAAGTACACATACATAAAATGTTTTACTACAGCTATACCACTAGCATCAACAGAAAATGCTAACTCAGCAATTAATGGTCCTTTATGAACATGTACAGTGCATTTTTATCATTAACAAATGCATGTACAAACGTATTTTTTCTATGAAAACATTACAAATGAATAAGTTCATTACTTCAAATTGTATTTCAGAAACTATAAAATGTTCACTGAATAAATATTAATGGTATTTCTAAAAAATAAAAAAAATACATTTTTACTAAGACACTTCTTTAAAATGACATAATGAATTAGATAAAAACACAGAAAAGAGAGGAAACTCATGTATTCAACATATAGCAACAACAAATGTGTATCAAATCTTTAGTTCACAGTCCTGAACACATTGTTTCAATTATTTAAAAAATAAATCTGTTAAAATGTTGCCACCTTCTTGTTACTACTTGCACAAGCACAACAGGTACCTGGTATATACCAGCTGTTGTATTAATAGCTTACATTATAACAAAATTATCATTTATTTAATTATGACCAGCACCAGGAGTTGTAACACTGCGCTCATTTCTCCTTCTTAGTTTTCTTGTCAGCAACATTGTCTTTCTTCTCACCATCTCCCTCTGTCTTTGCCTCAGGATGATCCTCATAACTATAACAAATATTTATGTATAAATAATATAATTCAAACTCTTAGAAATTACATGTGAAAATTTTTCCTTGTATATCAATCTTTTATTTTCTTAATTTTAACTATCTGCAGATCAATACTGAAATTTTCAAGTAAGTCTTTTACTCTATTCTGTTCCTGGACTAAAAGCAATTCGAATATACAACATAAGTTACAACATACCACCCAAGTTTCTATGAAAAGAAGTTTTTAATATAACTTCCGTTGGGCATATGAATTCTTCGTAGGAATGAAACTCACTATCATGCAAGATGATTCTCGATTTAGCCTTTGCCCTTACGGGACTGCTCATTGTCACGTTCATGAAATATCATGTTATATGATTTTTATGTTACAATACATGTACCAAGTTTATGCTGTCTGTCTTGGATCTATACTAGTGATATAGGCAGAGCATAGTTATTGCTAAATACAGATGAATAACTATCCAAGTGTTTTAGAAATCTGATCCCTTGAACTTATTGCACCCCCACCCCTTATGGATATCTCAGACCAACCAACTTGTATCAATTTTTCAAAACTTTAAACACAACTGATTAATGTAATGTCATACAAAAATGTTATAGCTGATGATCTAGTAAGAAGAATGTTATTACCTGAAGAGTGGTTTGATTTCACCTCTTACAAGAGCAACAAAAACAGGTACACCTATACATGCTGGAACCAGGTATAACAGGGCAGGCTGAAATAAATCATAATCTTATATTATACCAGCTTGAAAACCTGTCACACATATCCATGATTTACTTTGACAATTGTAATATGTACATTAAACAATGTCCAAAACATATAAATCATCACTGAAAATCAACAAAACTTGATTTGTATTATATTGAGGTAACTGCAAAAGAGTCAGACACTGAAGCTACTTTATATTTTAGTAGATTTACAATATTTTCCAGCAGCATTTGTGGCCAAGAAATTATAAGGTAGCTTTGAAATATTTGCTCGATATTGTAGGTCCCAATTCTACCATGAATGTTGAGATCTTACATGTGAGGAAGCTATTAAGGTACCCAGTCCTTAGTTTTGATAAATGTCTTTTATGCCTTAACAATGCTAGTATGGTTTGGCTCTATACCAGAAAACTTCAGCTTATCACTACTGTATTCCTAGAAAAGATTTCGCGCATTTTAAGTTAGCGCTTTTCGCGATATGCATGATTCCGCGAATCTTTATAGCCGCGAATATGTCACTTATAACAAATCCGCGAACATTTCTAGCTTCAACCTAAACATAACATAAAAAGTGCAGAATATTTATTATAATCTACTGATACAAAAAACCCATAAAAACACAGGGGCTATAGAAATGTGTAAAGAATTATTTATGTATGTTTTTGATACTAGTTTGCACGCTGAAAAAGAAAGTATCAATTATTAGTAATTATCATGCTTATTGACGGTTATTTACGGCGTTGACAAACGCATTTACAGTTTGTGAACATTGAATGACTTGGATTTTATTTGCTTGGAGTAGGTGTAATCCTTTGTTAAAAGTAAAATAGCGATCAAGTGCTACATTGATAAACAACTGTTATGTTGTTATAATGAAAGCGATGTACAGCCCGATAATGTGTAAAAATTACGTATCGACATTTTGAAGAAAAAGTCAGTTATGATTCAAATGAGAATAAAAGATAACGTGTCTGACTAAATCTTACTTAATCACATAATGAAAAAGGTAAGGAAACATGAAAGTAGTCAATAGATGAAAATGTATCGAGTAACGTTGCGCTTTAGGCGCGACTTGTCAAAAAAAATAAAATAATTAAAAGCACCCAACAGGCAAGGTCATGCATCAAAAACGTAGCCTCCAAAAACTGTAATTTAGGCCGTAGCGACTTAACATTCGCGGAATTCGCGGTTACTACATATCCGCGAAAGTTTGTCTCCGCGAAAATGCCGACGTTGTGAAAAACGCGAACTATTGTATCCGCGAACATTTCTAGGAATACAGTATTCTTATAGCAAAACCACTCCAACAAAGATATGCATTCCTCTTTAATTAACACTGTAAATCAAATTAGTTTAAACATATTTATTTAAGCTTGATTTCAAGTAAATCAAATTAAGATAACATACCTGTGCATGTTTGAAGAAATGCATGACAACAATGGTCATGAGAAGCCCGAGGAAATAAGCTAGAAAACTGGCATAGAAATACACACGACTGCCTTTCTTCTGGCTGTAATAAGAAACCATTTTTAAAAATAATGCCAAACAACATTAATGTTCTTTTCATTTCAATGTATCAGTAATAAATACATGTATCAATAAATAAATAAATACTCAGTTAATGATGTAATAAAAAATAATCACATAAATCAGAACATTAGAATAATTGAAAGTTTCAGTTTATAGAGCTAGATTTCATATGTTTTTCAAAAGAAAGAATAATTTCAATTTCAGAATCACTTTGTTCTTAGAATAATGAAAAACAGAACAAAATTGTGATGTTAATTTTTTAAATGATTTTGACAAAAACCTGTAAGAGGATTTGGTTCACTCACTTCTGAATATCAAATATCAATTAAATGGCATCTTCTGAAGAAAGCAAAGAATTACAGGCATGATAATAGTTTTTACATTGAAAAAATGAGATATCTATAGATAAATATCAATAAATTGTAATAGGTTAATTTTGGATGCACTGACCTGATGTCAAACCTAAGAAGTAGAGCTATGAAGATTCCAGGTATAACTATATCACCAAGACCAAGCATGGCAAAATTTTTAGCATCTAGACCATTCTCTAACAGATCTTGAGGGAACACCACTGAAAACGTACATACATATACATCACATACATCGACAAGGAAACTTATCACACATATTTTTTAATTTACATTACCACAATTATTTCTATATCAAGTAAGTTTAAATCATTTACATGGGAATGAATTGAAATCTCTTCTTCATATTTGTAGCCAAAATGTAACAGTATTACTATCTAAGTAAGAATAGAATATACATATACAAAGATCAAAGTCAATTATACATTTATGTACACTTAAATGTTTTCTTTTCAACTCTTTTCAACAGAGGATAATCAAATTTCTTAAATATTGTATTAAAGAAAGCAAGGTACCAAACTTTACACAAATCTACTGCACAAATTTTTCAATCTCCAACATTTTGAAGGGTTAAACCCCTCTTTTTCAAGGAGTTTCCGTTTATTTTTATAAATCAAATAATAAGATAAATACACAAATCATAAGTAAACCAGTACTGGCAAAATATTTCATTGTAATTAATTAAGCTTACACTTGATTGGAGCCTCAAACGACTTTGCAACTGTAACCATGACATTGGTTCCAAACACCCAGAATACATCATAGACAAAGAGGCCGCCAAGTAGAATACAGCCTGTACTAATACTGTTGAGAGTCAGAAACTCTATACCATTTACTGCAAATGCAAGGCCAAACAAGTTGTTTGCTACCCAGTGCTGAAAAAATACATGATCTTCAGTATCAAAAATAGCTTAAATAAGTATAAAAGTAAGTTCGCATCATTATCATTCATTATTGTATACTCATCATATTATATTAGAATTATTAAACTATACATGTATAGTTAGTGTAAAAACTTAAATATTGAATATTTGCTTCAATAATTTGATTTTAAGTAAATGAGTGATCATCAATATAAAATTCATATGTTTTGTTTGTTGGCAGGGTTTATAAATAGTTACCCTCATATACATGCAATTCACCATGGGTATAAGTTTTTAGCTATGAATATCAATACACTATTCATCCTTTTGTTTTTAATTAAAAATATATGAACTGAAATTGACAGACATGCAGAAATATGTCAGTTTGTAAAGTAAACAAAAGTTTTAGATTCTTTATAAATTTTTATGTAGATTTATTAAATCAATTCATTAGTTTTCTTGAATTTCTACAATTTTCATTTGTTCTGAAAATATGTGGATTTAACTTACAAATAACTGATAAACACATGTCATGATCATTTCATTTCAAAATCATATTAATCATGACCTGACAAGTCAGTAGTAACAACCAAACCTCACATAAATTTTTTAAACCAGTTGATATTTTGTTTGTTTTGGGTTTTACGTCACATCAACACAGTATAAGTCATATCGGGACGTTCCAGCTTTACTGGTGGAGGAAGTCCTTAGGTGCCTTTCCGTGCATTATTTCAGGCACGAACGGGCACCTGAGTAGAACCACCGACGTTCCGTAAGCTAGCTGGATAGCTTCCTCACATGAAAGAATCCAAAGTCCCTGTCGGGATTCGAACCCACAGCGGTGAGGGACAAGTGGTAAACCAGTTGATATAACAGTATCTTAATTATAATTCATTAAATTACCTTCTTAATGAGATACCAGAGTCCTACAACTCCAGAAAGCGCAATCACCAGAAGATCTTTCCTATCAAACTTCCAGTTTACTATTTCTGTAACAAAAACATACATTTTATACAATTCAATATGCTACCAAATGAACTTATACACTTTGCAATATAAACATATAGCTCAATATTTATACCAATCTTTATAAATGTGCTCAAGTCTACACAATTATACAGGCCTATCAATGCTTACATTAGAGAGAACTGGTTCTTATCATTTAGTGTTATACTCCATATCATCTCCTTTTCCAGAAGAAACAACTGTGAGTTAGGATTTTTCCTGCATTGAGTTTAAAATATAAAAATACCTGATTAAAAAAGAACAAGTTTCTAATTTATATATAGGCACTCATCCAAGGCTACTTAGAAGCTGTGGGTCCAAAAACTAAACCCAAATACAATCTTCTTGTGAAGCTTAAGTACACCAAAGCTTTTATTTCTAATCAGGAATAAAATGGTCTACTTTAATACATAAGGAATGAGAACAAACAATAACACAGTAACGCTCGACTATTCGAAAAGTTGTCACAAGGATGTTTCATTGAGTATAATAATGCTTACCTATATGAATACATTAAATTGTCCGCAAAGGTACAAACCCTTCAGTAGTTATGGAGATATCGTCTACCAAGCAAAAATTTACCTAGAATTTCTAAGTCAAAAAAGGGGCATAATTATGCAAAAAAGCAAATTTAGAGTTATGGGACTTGTGCCATTCATCTTAGATAATCACAGAAAACAAGTGTGTGAAGTTTCAATCCATTCCCTTCAGTAGTTATGGAGATACCAGCTTACACGCAAAAACTTAACCAAGACTTTCTAAGTCGAAAAAGGGGCATAATTATGCAAAAAAGTAAATCAGAGTTATGGGACTTGTGCCAATCATCTTAGATAATCACAGACAACAAGAGTGTGAACTTTCAATCCATTCCCTTCAGTAGTAATGGAGATACCAGCTTACACGCAAAAACTTAACCAAGAATTTCTAAGTCGAAAAAGGGGCATAATTATGTAAAAAAGCAAACAGAGTTATGGGACTTGTGCCAATCATCTTACATAATCAAAGAGAACAAGTGTGTGAAGTTTCAATCCATTCCCTTAAGTAGTTATGGAGATACCAGCTTACATGCAAAAACTTAACCACAGGGACGCCGACAAATGGGCGACAGCATTAGCTCGATTATTCTGCGAATAGTCTAGCTAAAAACCACTTTTGCTTTAATAATGATATTCACAAATACTAACCTTCTTTCTTCTCAGCTGGACCTTGTGTGAAGATCATGTGATACTCCTGGTTAGGGAACAATGGAGGAATCAGAGGGTGTAGGATAGGACTGAAATATTACATGTACATTTCAATCATTAACAGATACTTTATAACTTTATAAAATAAAACTAACAATTTTTTAGACTTCTTAATTTGTTTCAGATTGCTATGGAGAATACAGGAAAGATAAACATTGTAAAGGTTTATATATAATTAATCAAATGTTATAATTAAGAACTAGAGGATGCTTTTGTAAAAAAGCGCATGTCTCCCCCACTGCACTGTGACCTTGACCTTTGACCTACTGACCCCAAAAATAATAGGGATCATCTGCTCTATAAGACCAATCATCCTATGAAGTTTGAGGGCTGTAGGTCAAAAGGAACTCTAGTTATCATCCGGAAACGAGAAATTGACCAACGGTCACTGTGACCTTGACCTTTGACCTACTGACCCCAAAAACAATAGGGATCATCTGCTCTATAAGACCAATCATCCTATGAAGTTTGAGGGCTGTAGGTCAAAAGGAACTCTAGTTATCATCCGGAAACGAGAAATTGACCAACGGTCACTGTGACCTTGACCTTTGAACTACTGACCCCAAAAACAATAGGGATCATCTGCTCAATAAGACCAATCATCCTATGAAGTTTTGAGGTCTGTAGGTCTAAAGGAACTCTAGTTATCATCCGGAAACGAGAAATTGACCAACGGTCAGTGTGACCTTGACCTTTGACCTACTGACCCCAAAAACAATAGGGATCATCAGCTCTATAAGACCAATCATCCTATGAAGTTTGAGGGCTGTAGGTCAAAAGGAACTCTAGTTATCATCCGGAAACGAGAAATTGACCAACGGTCACTGTGACCTTGACCTTTGACCTACTGACCCCAAAAACAATAGGGATCATCTGCTCTATAAGACCAATCATCCTATGAAGTTTGAGGGCTGAAGGTCAAAAGGAACTCTAGTTATCGTCCGGAAACGAAGAATGGACGGACGGACGGACTGACGGACGGACGGACGGACAGGGCAAAAACAATATGTCTCCCCCCGAGGTGGGGGAGACATAATTATTATACAGAACTGTATTTTATTTACCTGGCAATGTGAGCTAAAGCTAGCACACCTAGGAAGAAAAAGTATACAGCTAGTAACATGTTGATGTATTCTTTGGAGAATATCTGAAAATAAATATTTTGTTTGAAATAAGTAAATCTAACGAGAGATCTTAGTATAACAATATAGTGATAAATAATAGCTAAACAATCTGTATATATTCATTATGTCACTAAGCATTTCTTTGGAATGTAAATTACTAGACTGGTATTGAAAACAAGAGCGATCAGTAATCACATGTGTCGCCTCATGATGGCCAATTTCATGTTGGGACAAATTTTGTGACAGACGGACAGACAGACGTACAGTGCACAACTAGACTTGGTACTGATCATTCCTGTAAAGTTTGGATAAAATTGCACCAGTAGTTTATGAGGAGTAGTCCGGACAAGCTTTTGCGTATCTGACAACACACAGAAAAAAAACACCTTTTTATCAAAGGGCCATAACTCAGCCAAAAATCATTCAACCGGAAAACCCGTGCAATATGTGCAAGGACTTGAGCTAAAGATCAATCATGCAAATTTTCATTGAAATTGCATTGATGATATAGGAGGAGTAGTCTGGACAAACTTTAAAAATATAAATTATTAAAGGGCCATAACTGACAAAATCATTGAACTAGAAAATGCCGACAATATGCATAACTAGACTTATTACTGATCATTCCTGTACAGTTTGGATGAAATTGCACCAGTAGTTTGTGAGGAGTAGACTGGACAAGTTTTGTGACGGATGGACGGACAGACAGACGACGGAGAAGTGATCCCTATATGTCGCCACTACTCCGTAGAGGCGACACAACTAGACACATCAAAGATGATCATCTTCAGTGTCTATTCTAGAAATTCAAAAATAGGGGTGAACAAGTAAAATAGAAGGAATTTTCAAAAACAAGGGGTGCCAATATAAAGTGTAATTGCATAAAATACAGAGAGAAAATTTGCACCTTCGACCCTTGAAATAATTTTCTATGCCAAGGGTCACTCGCTCTAATTTTAATCATTAAAAGATAAGTATAACACAGGGGAGAAAATTCAATTTTTTGAATGAAAATATTGATTTTATTCAGTTAACAATTACTTCCTTTCGTTTCGACCAGCAGACAAAAATAATATGGCCAAACATTTCTTGATGCACCTAAAACCAACATATTACTTTGCAACCTAAAAACAACTGCTTTTGAAGTAATAGAAATGCATTTTTTGATATCAGAATTATTAAAGTTTAGAGAGTTGTCTGCTAAATTTTAACACCACTCAATATTGTAATTGGTCTTGTCATTATTCTATTAGGACAAAACCAATCATCATTTTAGCAAAAAATTCAAAATAGGTACTGAGTGAATAGTGAACAGTGCAGACCATGATCTGCCCTGGCTGCATGGGTAGGTTTTGTAGCCATCAGCAGACTATGAATTAAGAATGATATAGAAAACTTACCTGGAACACAACATAAATGCCAAACAATGTACAGCTGGCAATGATGGGGAACATAGCTGCATCTTTACTGGACATTGTTTCAGGCTTCTCCCCAGAGGCCTGAAAATAAATATACAACATAAAACACATTCCCTTTTTTTATATACAGGTATGGATTTTTTTAAAATCTGACTTAAGAGCAATTATTGATAGAAATTTCAAGCTCCTTATAATTTGGACTAGATACTGTATAGTCAGGTAAAGGGTCAACTTGGCCCTATACCAACACGGCACGGGTCAACTCGGCACAGGTCAACTTGGCCCTTTATTAAAAACATATATTAGGATATAGATTGTTTAGTTAATAAAAATTTTAAAGAGTAAATTACTATAAAGTTATTCAGAAGCAGGATCACTTACAAACAGAAATTGAAAAAGTTGGCAGTGTACCTGTACATATTGTTTGAAATTATCTTTGTTAAGAAGAGATATCAAGACAATATATGTTAAATATTGCACAAATAGAGTTTTTAGATTGAATTTTTGTGACAATAAATGTACTTGTTTTTAATACACGGAAAGTCCGAGCGGGGCCAAAGGCCCCGCGAGGGCTGTAGCGCTCTTAGATAACATGTATGACGCGTATCAATTTCAAAAAATATATATCCTAAACCTAATGAGCTGTGAAAAAATCCTTAGTTAACTGGGCGCCGCCATTTTGAAATCCTTTTGAGCTAAATATAGATATCAGAGTGCTTTTAATGAGCGTCTACATAGTTCAGACTATTACTAGCAGATGCATGCTAAATAACACTTCCGGTGAAAGAATGATGTACAAAATCAGAGAATAAACATGCATTTCATTAATAAAACTATAGTAACGATTATAAATATGTATCCTTTTTGAGAATAAACACATTAAAGAATAACGTTAAAGCAACAACTGTGATTAGAGATTAACAAAAATGGCGGCCGGAATTTTCCAAACGCCAACGCATGCGCAGTGGCCCCCCTTTACTTTCGGTGATTTTCGGGCACCCTGATGATAGGTTGAACACCACCAATTTATTTGTTTTGTTTACGGTACAAAATACCTGCATTTACATGTACACTAAACATGTTATGCTAAAATCATAATTCATAAGAGCTTTCCGCGCCATAGGTAGCACATAATTTCATATTACTGTTTGTTCTTTAATACGACCAATGCTGTTTTAAAGATATTTTTCACAAAAAATCTTGAAGGCAAAACATGCATATAAATTGTAAATTCTTTCTATCTTTACAAATTCACATACAAATTGGTACTTTCATCAATAAAACTTTTCAATATCCTTGAGTAGAGGTCTGTCACTGTGAAAATATTAAACCATGAAAGTTATGATGAAAACATATCAAAACTAATATGAAAAAGGCAAAGCCTCAAAGCGAGCTCGGTGTACTTTTAACTTGAAATAGTATGAAATAATCGTTCGTTTTTATTTTAAATTTTCCGTTCGGTATTTTATACACTGCTTTCGTTTATTCTGGTTCCTCCTATTAAATGAATATAGTTAATGTATTTTATCATTTGTGCTACGTGAATTACCATAATTTACAGGAAGAAAGAAGGAATCGGCCAATGTTTGTAAACAAATGCAGTGACGAGTGCGTTTGACGTCACACGTACTGTGTTAAATATGGTTTCGCCCCTTTATTTTTTCTGTTGTTTTTTTTCTTACATGTCAAGAAAAAATATAATTATTATTATAATGTTGGACTTTATGTTTGGGTGGTTAAATTTGTTTTCGCCTCAGAGTTTCTTTAAAGGCTGTTCCAGTGGTATGAAAAATAAAGACTGTTCCAGTGGTATGAAAAAACCTGTCGTTAAATCTTACGTGTGTAGAAACATTTTGAGAATAACGAATTTTGAAAACGTTGATAAAACTTTGTTTGTTTATTTTATTTCACTCTATAATTTTTCAAGCGAAATAAAGATTATTAAAAGTGAAATAAATGTAAAACTTAACACGTTTGCGACATTAAAATAGCGTACTTGATTTGATTGTTTTGCACGTGCTGTTTGGCGCTACATTGTGACGTCACGTAAACAATACTTTAAACGTCTGTACAGCGTTAACGACTGAATAAAAGATATTGGTGTTCGGATTCATTTTCTTAGTTAGACCATTTTCTTTCATTCTAGAAAGTTTTCACATCACAATTCGACAAAAAATTGTTTGGATTTATCAGATTTTTCAAACAAAATATGGCGCCCTCAATGTTAAAATACACAGGGAGATAATGAGAAAGGCGAGTGCATTGTTGTCGGGCCTTTTTGTTTATACGATAGTGTTAGAATGTTTTGTTTGTTTTTGAAAAAAAATGAGGTAAATGTACATTTAATGAAATCCGGCAAAACCTATGTACGGGAAAAGTCGGTTAAAATAATCGTTTAATTTTCATTTTACATTTTCCGTTTTAAAACTGTCATTCGATATTTTATACACAGCTTCCGTTATTCTGGTTCCCTGTCCAATTATGGTTCCCATAGAAGTGCGCGGGTGACCAGTCTACACATCCGTTTTCAGTCAGAATTCCTCAGTTTTTATCGTTATCTTTAAATTCGAAAAGTTGCGATGTGTCCAATTCGGTACTTCGGACGAAAGTTTTCAAAACCATCACTTAGCAGGTACTCGCGTTACCGTAAAGCTCGCTTTGCGAGCAGGCCCTTCGGGCCAGCTCGTCGAGCTCGCTATTTAAAGTGAAATAAATGTAAAACTTAAAACGTTTGCGACATTAAAATAGCGTACTTGATTTGATTGTTTTGCACGTGCTGTTTGGCGCTACATTGTGACGTCACGTAAACAATACTTTAAACGTCTGTACAGCGTTAACGACTGAATAAAAGATATTGGTGTTCGGATTCATTTTCTTAGTTAGACCATTTTCTTTCATTCTAGAAAGTTTTCACATCACAATTCGACAAAAAAATTGTTTGGATTTATCAGATTTTTCAAACAAAATATGGCGCCCTCAATGTTAAAATACACAGGGAGATAATGAGAAAGGCGAGTGCATTGTTGTCGGGCCTTTTTGTTTATACGATAGTTTAGAAGTTTTGTTTGTTTTTGAAAAAAAAATGAGGTAAATGTACATTTAATGAAATCCGGCAAAACCTATGTACGGGAAAAGTCGGTTAAAATAATCGTTTAATTTTCATTTTACATTTTCCGTTTTAAAACTGTCATTGATATTTTATACACAGCTTCCGTTATTCTGGTTCCCTGTCTAATTATGGTTCCCATAGAAGTGCGCGGTGACCAGTCTACACATCCGTTTTCAGTCAGAATTCCTCAGTTTTTATCGTTATCTTTAATTCGAAAAGTTGCGATGTGTCCAATTCGGTACTTCGGACGAAAGTTTTTCAAAACCATCACTTAGCAGTACTCGCGTTACCGTAAAGCTCGCTTTGCGAGTAGGCCCTTCGGGCCAGCTCGTCGAGCTCGCTATTTAAAGTGAAATAAATGTAAAACTTAAAACGTTTGCGACATTAAAATAGCGTACTTGATTTGATTGTTTTGCACATGCTGTTTGGCGCTACATTGTGACGTCACGTAAACAATACTTTAAACGTCTGTACAGCGTTAACGACTGAATAAAAGATATTGGTGTTCGGATTTGTTTTCTTAGTTAGACCATTTTCTTTCATTCTAGATAGTTTTCACAACAAAATTCGACAAAAAATTGTTTTCATTTATCAGATTTTTCAAACAAAATGGTGCCTTCAATTTTCATTTTACATTTTCTGTTTTAAAACTGTCATTCGATATTTTATACACAGCTTCCGTTATTCTGGTTCCATGTCCAATTATGGTTCCCATAGACGTGCGCGGGTGACCAGTCTACACATCCGTTTTCAGTCAGAATTCCTCAGTTTTTATCGTTATCTTTAAATTCGAAAAGTTGCGATGTGTCCAATTCGGTACTTCGGACGAAAGTTTTCAAAACCATCACTTAGCAGGTACTCGCGTTACTGTAAAGCTCGCTTTGCGAGCAGGCCCTTCGGGCCAGCTCGTCGAGCTCGCTAATAAAAGTAATCATTACCAATAACAAATAATTATGGGCTAAGTTGGAATGGGGCCGAGCTGACTCTGGGGCCGAGTACGTTTTTAGGGCCGAGCTGACCCCGATTCGTATAGTCACAAATGATAATTGCAAAATATGGTTGGTAAAAATTTATAAACCTGGTTTCAAAAACCTATAAAACAATTATGACATTTGTAAAGGTTTTCAGATGCAGTGTTATTTATTTCCTTGCATTCGTAATTTAATCAGCAGCTGCTCTCTGATGATATAAAAAGTGCAAAAAATGCCGGACCAATTTCGTGCCATTTAAACTAATTATTTCCTTAATCCAATTTTATTTCTGAATATATAAACTGCCACATATGTGTTGACATCATTAAACTTAATCAACAATCATGACAATATTGAGAACTTACTTTTTGCTCCTTATGGTATCTGACTGAACGGAATGAACCAAGAAATATTGGAATTAAAGCCATGATAACAAGACTACTATATGCCACAAACATTCCCTCCGGAGTTGCTGGAATTTTAGCGGTGACATTTTCTGCTGTTGCATTAACAGTTTCATTTACTACCGGCATCTCTGTAGCTGTGTCTGCCATGTTGACGTCTAACTTGATGAAAGACTGATTCAAAATTAACTGTCACTCTGGATCGAAGAACGTTTGAAAATACGTGTCCTTTTCGAGTAGCAAAATTTTCAAGCTTCCGTACAACTAAGACTTTCAATGTTGGACCAGTCAATTATACGTGTCAATAAATAAAACATAAAGCTATCAGTGATTGGACAATACAATGAGTAACAAGATACTTCATTGGTTGAAATTTAGACCTCGAAAAAATGGCAGCCCCCATGTGTCTCACAAAATTTAGAGGACAACTTATAAACATTTCAGGAAGACTATTTCCCCTACAGATAAATTCAAATTGTAGATTCGTATTTACTAACAGTGACGATTATATCCTAGATTATGATATAGATGAAGAAGAATTAGAGAAAAAACTCGCGAAGATTAGGGATTGCTCTGGACTAACTCGACCTCAGAAAATGAAACATTATGGAAAAATGCCTGGACTTGAAGTTATATTTAAGAACGGTTACAAGGGGAAGAAACGAAATAAATTAAGGAGACTGTATGCCGAGTATGGCCATGAATCAGGTATTAGGTCTATCTGCAGACGAACCTTGAAGTTTAGCAGGCTGGTGAAAATGCCCGATCGGCTATTCTCTCCCTTACCAGTTCCTCCCCTGACAATTCTCTCCCTATTTTGGGGGAGAACCGTCTGCTTATTTGCAAATAAGCAGACAGTTCCTCCGCATTTTTATTTTCATTAATACATTATTATTGATTAGATATTGGTTAGATGTTAAATAAATGGTAAGTTTATTATTAATTGATATAAGTTAGAGAAAATAATATTTTATTGAAGTATTTAGATGTTTCATAAATGGATAAGTTTATTATTAATTGATATAAATTAGAAAAACGGATATTTTTAGCATATTAGTTAATTATTATTATATAAAAGTAAATGTGAAATGTGACTGCATATCAGTTGTTACTTATTTATTTTCTGGAAAATACTCGTTATCACCTTATTCGCTATTTAATAAATGAATGAATATCACTAAACCTTAACATAATTACAGTTGTATATCAATCACTGTCCAATAATCTTAACCTCTAACAGTGTTCGAAATTAGCAGTAGTCCTATAGCCCCTGACTACTAAATTTCTCCTTGGGCTACCAACTTTTCACAGTAACAAGCCCGACCAGGCTACTGTATTTTCAGAGGCAATATAAAAAACTGTTTTGAACAAATGAATCGTGCTAGTGAAATGTCCTTTGGGCTAGTGAAAATTCCAATCCGGTAGTCCGGCAAGCCTAGTGGATTCAAATCCTAATTTCTTACACTGCTCTAACAATGAAGGTGTTGATAGGATTAAAATACCTGAAATAGGTGTTAAATTTACAAACACTTTTCAGATAAACATAAAATGAACTAAATATCAAACACATTCTTTAATAATCTTCCTTAAGAAATATTATGAGAGTAAGACAAAAATATAACCAAAAAAAAATTGGGGGGAGAACTGTCTGCATATTTCAAATTTGGGAGAGAACCGTCAGGGGAGGAAATGGTTTGGGGGAGAACGGCCAGGTGGAGGAACTGGTAAGGGAGAGAATAGTCTGTCATTCATCGGGCTTATGACAAAAAATACATTTCTAGAAAAATAATGAATATGTTTCTTTTAAACTTTGTTTGTTTATTGAGCATAATATATGACATAGACAGGATTGAAAAATATTTGGTAACTGCCACTTTTATGAGAATTTTACCCCCTTTTTAGCTCGACTTTTCTATGAAAAGGGGAGCTATCCTACTCGCCCCGGCGTCGGCGTCGGCGTCGGCGTCACACCTTGGTTAAGTTTTTCGTACCACCCTACTTTATTTCAGAAGTATTACAAGTATGGCTTTGAAACTTACCATACTTGTTCACCATCATAACCTCCATCTACAGACAAGAGTACATAACTCTGTCAAGGTTTTTGACAGAATTATGGCCCTTTTTTGACTTAGAAAGTGTATTGAGCTTGGTTAAGTTTTTTGTACCACCTCACTTTATTTCAAAACCATTGGAGGTATTGCTTTGAAACTGACCATACTTGTTTTACCATCACGACCTTCATCAACAGACAAGAGGACATAACTCTGTCAAGGTTTTTGACAGAATTATGCCCCTTTTTGACTTAGAAAATACATTGAATATGGGTAAAATCCACTTATTGCCTTAACCCTTTGAGATATTGCTTTGAAACTTTTAATGCTATTTCACATCATTACCCCCATCTGTACGCAAGAGAAGGTAACTCTGTCAAGGATTTGTTTTAAAAATTAAGGCCTTTTATCGACTTAGAATCTTGGTTAAGTTTTTAGTACCAGTCCACTTTTTGACTGAACTGTTTGAGATATTAATTTGAAAGTTGGAATACTTGTTTACAATCATGATTCCCAAACATGTCCAGGAGAAGGTAATTCTGTCAAAGATTTTATTTGAATTATGGCCCTTAACTGTCAATGTTTTGTATTATAGGCAAGCACTAAAAAACTTAAAAAATCTAAAAAAATTCAAATCTATATATTATGCTGATTGTACAAAAATATACTGCTTCCTTGGCATAGATTTCTTGAAAAATTATGTTATTATGTCATTTACCAAGGTGTTCTGAGTGACGTAAAAATACCTTATTCTCTCAAAGTGGGTTTAATACTATTAAATTTATTTAAGGCTCAACTCAGTTTTTTTTTCTTTCTTACCAGCCCTCTTTTGACTTAAACATTTCAAACTTTGCTGCAGTGTTCAAGGGTATCACACAATTCAGTAAAATAATTCTTCACTAAATATCTTAATGCTCATGGCCATTGTTCACTTTAAAAATACAGAGATTCTTGTATTGCCTTTTACTGCAAAAACTTTTTTTATTGGCAAGCAATAAAAAAGTCGAGCGCGCTGTCTTACGGACAGCTCTTGTTAGCTCACCTGTCACAAAGTGACAGGGTGAGCTTTTGTGATCGCTTTTCGTCCGGCGTCCGTCCGTCGTCCGTCCGTCCGTCCGTAAACTTTTACTTTAAATGACATCTCCTCATAAACCACTAAGCCAATTTCATCCAAACTTCACAGGAATGTTCCTTTGGTGGTCACCTTTAAAAATTGTTCAAAGAATTTAATTCCATGCAGAACTCTGGTTGCCATGGCAACCGAAAGAAAAAACTTTACTATTTGTATAGTAAAAACATAAAAATCTTCTTTTAAAAAAACCCAATGAGTTAGAGCTCAGATATTTAGCATGAAACATCTTCTTATGGTTGTCTTCCAGGTTTGTTCAAATAAAAGCCCTGGGGTTTAAACTGGCCCCGTTCCGGGGGCCTATATACAGGTGAGCGACCTCAGGGCCATCATGGCCCTCTTGTTCATTTTTTTTATTACCCATAATTTTTTGAAGTCCTTAAAAAATGTTACATATGCAATTGCAAAGTATAAAACAAAATAGCCTTAATAAGTTAAATAACTTCTTTATGCTCTAATTCATTGCGCAAACACCTGCCAGCATACATTTCATTCAGTTTTTAGAGAAAACTTCAATGTATAATGTTCACCGTCAAAGAATTGTCAAAATATAAATTTTATGCCAGAAACAGAATATTTAATCCAAATACATAGAATAAAGGTACAGGCGCAATGATATTGAGCAAAATTAAGTTGTTGGACACATTTTTATTAAGAATTTTACATAACAAAATACTTTTTATGAACTTCAAATACTTTGTCTCCTATAAATGGGAAAAAGTGAAATAATTCTAAGATATTAAAACATATTTTTAATATGATTTGTATCATACATAAATGCTTAATAAACAAAACAAGTTAGAAAGAAACATATTCATTTATTTTCTAGAAATATGATTTTTTTATGTCATAAGCCCGATAGGTCATTTTCATCAGCCTGTTTTTGCCATGCATCAAAGGATTTTAAAATAACTAGGCATGAATGTCTACCACATCAAGACAACATGTCGCGACAAAGACCCATGTCCCTAACTTCAAGGTCAAGGTCACACTTATAGTTTGAAGGTACTCATTCACCCGAGAAGAGTTTGAAGATTCACATTCATGTCCGGACTGTAAGTTTGTCATGCATGGAAGGATTTTAAAATAACTTGGCACAAATGTCTACCACATCAAGACAATGTGTCGCGGCTAAGGCTCATGTCTGTCTGTCCGTGTGTCCCCACTTACACAACAATCATGTCCAGACTGTAACTTTGTCAAAAAACCTGCATGCTTCAGAAACCTTTTCGGGGGCATTCATCACTTGGGTGACAGTTCTTGTTAAATGCTCTTTAACATTTTGTCTCAATTCACTTAAAGGAAAAAATCGGTAGTGCTAAAATTTTAATTATTATTGTCTATTTGACTTCATCATTGCACTGCAAGTATATTGTAGCTAGTGTTTAAAACCTTTTTTTAGACATTTTAAAGTTTGAATTTTGTTTATCTTTACTATTTCCTTTATTATTTCAAATGAATGTAGTCACTGAACAGAAAAGTACAAATTATTTGTACTTTTCTGTTCAGTGACTACATTCATTGAGGAAAAGTGATATACAAAGTCTCACTGTCTGTCTGTGCGTCCCCACTTCATTCGTGTCCGGACTGTAACTTTGTCATACATGGAGGGATTTTGAAATAGCTTGGCACAAATGTCTACCACATCAAGACGATGTGTCGCATCCAAGAACCACATCCCTACCTCAAAGGTCAAGGTCACACTTACATTTTGAAGTTTCACATCACAAATAGAGTTAATAGGTACACACATTTGTGTCCAGACTGTAACTTTGTCATGCATCAGGGTGTTCACTAGCCATGAAATCCTGAGGGTCATTGACTAAGTTTTACCGACTACAAGGCCAAATCCCCATGATTTTAACAAAATTTGACCCTCCAGCTATAATCCTGAAGGGTCAAAGTGTCATTTCAAGGGTCAAACGGACACCCTGTGCATCAAAGGATTTCAAAATAACTAGGAATAAATGTTTATCACATCAAGACCTATGTGTCACGTCCAAGAATTACATTCCTACCTCAAAGGTCAAGGTCACACTACCATTTTGAAGTTCACTTTATCACAATTAGAGTTAATAGGTACACACATTCGTGTCCGGGCTGTTACTTTGTCATGCATCAAAGGATTTTACTATAACTTGGCATAAATGTCTAACACATCAAGACAATGTGTTGCGTTCAAGAATCAAGTCCCTACTTTAAAGGTCAAGGTCACACTAACATTTTGAAGTTTCACTTTATCCCAATAAGAGTTTATAGGTACACACATTTGTTTCCGGACTGTTACTTTGTCATACATCGATTTTAGAATAACTTGGCATAAATATCTACCACATCAAGACGCTGTGTCACCTCCAAGAATCTTGTACCTACCTCAAAGGTCAAGGTCACACTACCATTTCACCAGTTCACTTTTATCATAATTAGACTTTATAGATACACACATTGGTGTCCGGACTGTAACTTAAATTACTTTGTCATGCGTTGAAGAATTTTAAAATAACTATGCATAAATGTCAACCACATTAAGACATGTCGCGTTCAAGACCCTTGTCCCTACCTTCAAGGTCAAGGTCACACTTATAGTATAGTTTGAAGGTACTCATTCTCTCGATAAGAGTTTGAAGATACACATTCATGTCAGGACAGTAACTTTGTCATGCATGGAAGGATTTTAAAATAACTTGGCACAAATGTCTACCACATCAAGACAATGTGTCATGGCTAAGGCTCATGTCTGACTGTCTGTCCGTCCCCACTTACACAACAATCATGACCAGACTATAACTTTGTTCTGCATTGAGGGCAGTGTTTTGTGTAAGACCCATGTTCCAACCTCCATGGTCAAGGTCACACTAATAGTTTGAAGGTATTTATGCTCATAAGAAGAGTTGTAGGTACACATTAGTTTCCAAACTGTAACATTATCATGCATTGAAGGATTTTAAAATAACTTAGCATAAATGTCTACCACATCAAGATGTATGTCTACCACATCAAGATGTTTTGTCTCATCCAAGAATCTTGTCCCAAGGTGTTAAGTTTGCTATAAATAGCACTTCATTTCACAAGAACAATATTAAGCAATCAGTTACTTTCATTCTCTTTTCTTTTCATAATACCTGCATGCTTAAGAAACCTTTTTGGGGGCATTTGTCACTTGCTTGACATCTCTTGTTACATATAACATATCAAGAGAACTTTACCAGATTTATTTGATTACCTTTGATTAAGTTTATGTACATGTATCTTTAATTATTACATAGGGATCAACCCTGGTATTATGTTTCCAAGCAAACCAGAACTTAATGATCTGTGGGATATAGAGAAGAACTGGACAAAGTCTTTTCAAGAAATAAAAGAAGACCTAGAAAACAAAAAGGCTGCAGAAATAGAAGCTGACAGACTCAGGTAATGAAGAGTTTACTATAAACCAGTAAAATTATAGTACAGTAAAGACTGTCTTAGTGACCCCCTGTATATAGCGACGTTCTGTCTTTAGTGACCATAGTTTGTGGTGCGCCGAACAGTATTTGCTATATAAATGGTCTGCATGTAGCGACTCCCTGTCTAGTCCGTACAACGACCATGATTTAGTCACCCATTACGGTATATGAGCCGTGCAAAGTGTATGTGTAATTTCACTGATTATCAATCTCTGACCTACAGACTGACAAATTCCTGAGACTGTAATTCACTTGAGGAAGTGGATCATATATGTATGATGAAAAGAAGAAAGCTCTGTCTTTAATCTTGGTGACCTTGACTTTGATCGCAAACAACTTGTAATGATATAGGTCCATCTATGTTTAAACATAACGATTATCAATGATTTGATCAAATACTGGCTTTTTTAGTAGTAAAAATCCTATTTTCTGAGACTTTCTTTTACCTCAAAACTGTAATTTGAAATAACTTGGATAGAGATGTTCATTACTAAAACTGCATCTGTTGCATATCAGGTCAGATTTATAATAACACTCTATCAGAAGCTGTGTCGCGCACATGAACCAGGTCTCTAGGTCAAAGGTCAAGGTCACACTTAGAGGCCATTGAAAAACGTCATCATTTATTGAGGGAGTCATTATCGTGACTACTGGTGTGAAACATGTGATTTATGTTAATATATGCAAGGTCAAGGTCACTAAAGATGATAAAAATATAGAGATTTTGTTCAGAGCATATCTCCTACACATGTAGAGGGGTTCTAATGAAACTTAATACAAATGTTCACCTCTATGAGAAGCAGTGTCATGCACATGAACTAGGTCTCTAGGTCAAAGTCACACTTAGAGGTCATTGAAAAAAGACTTGTCTGCAGCAAAACTTCTACATGTATTGAGGGATTTCAATATAACTTGGCACAAATGTTTACCATTGTGAGGCAGAGTGTGGCATGCAAAATCCAGGTCCCTGCAACCAAGGTCAGGGTCACACATAGGGGTCAAAGTTCAGATAAAAATATGACAATGTGTATTCGAACCACTTAGTAATCATTTATTGAAACACAACTGGTTATTATCATAACTACTGGTGTGAAACATGTAATTTAGGTTAATATATGCAAGGCCAAGGTCATTAAAGATGAATAAAAATATAGAAATTTTGTCCAGAGCATATCTCCTCCAAGCATATTGGGATTCTAATATGTTCACCACTATCTCTGCCAAAAGATTTTGTGACGGGCGTATTTTGCGACAATGTTGCCCTTGTAATCTTAAAGTTTTTTAAATGCTATATTAATAAATTACTGATTTAAAATTTATAAGCATTCATGATTCAACTTTTGAGAGGTCTTGTTATGATAAAATGTAGCTTGTTTATATCAACAGTTTATATAAATGTAAAAAGTAATTTATGTACACATGTACTTGAAAGGTATACATTGTATAAAGTACATTTTCCCATTTGTATATTAGAGATATAAGCACATTTTGTATGTTAGTGGTAATATATATAGCTTGTATGTAAATGGTATATTAATATGTTGTATGTTTAAAATGGTAAAACAAATGTATTATGTACAGTTAATACATTAGAGGTATATGTATAGCTTGTATTTTAGAGGCATATGCACAGTTATATTTATAATTTGTGTACAGTTTGTTTTTTAGGTACCATGTTTTATTTTACATGTTATATATTAAAGGTATGAGAAGATTTTTAGAGCTACCGTATATTATTTTACATATTATATATTTAAGGTATGAGAAGATAGAGAAAGCAATGGCTGGCATGAATGGTTTATTGAAAAATCACATTAACAAGCAGAAGAAGTCTGAAGAAGACCAACGAAAGAGAGATAAAACTGAGGAACTTCTGGATGAGTTTAAGCTGCAGTACGGGTTCAATGCTACTCCAGACTCCAAACAATTTAAGCAGTTTAAACGTATAAAAAGTGAAGAACTCAAAGACATGAAAGCAAAACAAAAGAAAGAGGAAAAGAAAGCATCAAGTTTCCAGCGTTTAAAACAAGATTTAGAAAACGAAGTGAAGTCAAAATTAGAAAATTGATTTTCATTTTGTGTTGTGTTCATGTTCAAGTGTTTGTTTACTTTCTGTAAAATAGGGAAATGTGTACCATAAAAATGAAACAGACAGTGCTATTATACTAGTGATTGTAAATACATAAGATAAAAATATCAAAAGTGGCATAACTTTAAGGTTCAAACTTAATGTTTCCTTGTATACAGATTTACTTTTAAGGTTATTCTGATGTTTTTCAATGACCAAAATAAAAGATAAAAAATCAGTGTCTACCTTTTACTGTTCTAATATACTTTATGATGTGATAAAAAATGATGCACATGTTTCCTAAATTAAAAGTGACTTCTGTGCAATGCCAAAGGTAATAGCTCTGACTCCTAATGTAAACATAATACCATCACCCATCACATTATATAAACCATAGATAAATTGCTGGAAGTGACAGAATTAACAGCTTAGTGCAACAAGTAAAAAGAACAAGCTATTGACGCCTTTTTTATATATTGTATCAAAGTTTTACTTGTTCAGTGCTCCTCTAGACCACTGCTTCAGTGTTCCAATTTAAGCTCCAAATTAGAGTAAAGAGAGCTGAGATAGTATTGACCTGAGACAAAGAAGAAATCACAAAATTTAAATTTTGTTGGTGGTTCTACTTGGGTGCCCATTCATACCTGAAGTAATACAGGGAGGGGCACCTGAGGTCTTTCTCTAATACTAAAGATGGAAAGTCGCCATATGACCTAACTGTGTTGGTGCAACTTATCTCTCAACTGAAGAAAACAAGAACCGGGTGATGCTCCCCTGAGTAGGTTTTGAACACAGAAAAGTATACCTCTTGAAGTGTCTTGAAGAGTTATGTCCCTGACAAAGTTCAAAGTGTAAAAATGAACAAAGGGCAATAACTCCAAAATTAAGCAAGGCAGAGTTAAGGTTCTTTTGCGCTGCACTTCTATTTAATGAGATCAATCTACATGTACCTACGAACCTCTTATGGTTTCAGAGCTATGTCCCAGACAAAGTTCAAAGTAAAAAAATTACCAAAATTACCAATAACTACAAAATTAGGCAAGGCAGAGTTAAGGTTCTTATGCACTGCACTGCTGTCCACCTACAAAGTTTCATGTTGATATCACTTACAGTTTTAAAGTAATGTCCCGCACAAAGTTCAAAGTGTAAAAATGAACAAAGGGCAATAACTCCAAAATTAGGCAAGACAAAGTTATGGTTCTTTAGCACTGCACTTCTACACAATGAGATCTATATACCTACAAAGTTTCATGTTGATACCTCTTGTTGTTCCAAAGTTATGACCCGGACAAGACTAGCGGATGGACTGACAAAACGGCCACTATATGCTCGCTCTTCAACGAGCATAAACACAACACTGCGCTGCCTTTCATTATCCTGTAGTACTGGGAAGTTTACATCTAATTTCTTCAATATAATTAATTATTCTCTAGATTATCAATAATTATAATAGGAGATTATTCAAACAAGTGGGCCATGATGGCCCAGAAATTGCTCACCTGTATATATGGCTAGACAATGTTTCATGCCAAATACTTAAACTCTAGCTCTTTCGATTTTTTTAAAAGATTTTTTAAGTTTTTTCTTTCGGTTGCCATGGCAACCAGAGTTATGCATGGAATTTAAGTCTTTGAACAATTCTTAAAGTTGACTGCCAAAGGAACATTCCTGTGAAGTTTGTATGAAATTGGCTTAGCGGTTAATGAGGAGATGTCATTTAAAGTAAAAGTTTACGGCTGAACGACCCAGACGAAAAGCGATCACAAAAGCTCATCATGTCACTTTGTGACTGGTGAGCTAAAAAACAGTGGTTACTTGTAATGGTGGCCCAGCCTTGTACATTTTGAACTAAAATCATGATAATATAAATTTTAAGAAAATTTTGAATATTTTTACACTATACATGTAACTGGTTTAGATAAATTTTGTTAAGGCAACATGGAAATTTCTCATGTACATGCTGTATTAGATTTTCTGTAGTATGTTTTTTTGAATTCCAAATATGACACAAAACTAACACATATTCATGACAACATAACCTGCTTATAAATAACAGAGTTATGGTTCTCAAAACCAAACTTGATTGCATAGACTAAAAAGAAACCAAATTATTAGCTTTTCCAAGATAAAATGATAATCTTTTCAAAGAGAATCTAAATACCATTATTGTTCATATAGGGTTATTTTGATAGATAAGAGTCAACTCATTTGATACTTCTCATTTATATTGTTATTCTAGCACAAACAAAAATATTAACAAGAGCACCGCATGCAGTGTGAACACTCGTCTGTTAAAATTCTACTTTAAAAGGGGCATTATTCCAAAAATATTGCTTTCAGAAATATGCCCCTTGTCTAACAACTGCACCTCGTCATGATAAAAAAGTACTCTAAGTTTCATATTGATAACTTAAAATCTTTGAATAATGGGCTACATTAAATTTTTTGCATAATAATTGTAACAACCATGCAGCGATCATTATAGCTTGACTTTTCTTTGAAACAGACAAGCTTAAAATCGTTGCATAAATGTGAAAGCTATCTTTTCAATGTTTTATTTTATCACAGGCAGTCTCTGATTTATGACCAGCTAACAGTCTATAAATTGCACCATTAGATGTTTTCCATTATATCTGTCAATTACAGAGCTGTCGATCATTAGACATTGTCCCTGTCTGTCAAGTTCTCCAACATTACATTGATATAGTGTCACTGTATGAAGACTGTGTAAACACTGACCAAGTGAATATAGCTGATCTCCTTTTATCATACTTCCATGTAAAGATAATTCTTCTAACTTGGGACAATACTGAAACAAAACATTACATTTATTGATAAAGATCTGTCTTATAGGTCTTGTACATGATACCTTTTTGAAATCAAAGTTACCAAAATTGCATCTTGCAGTATTATGAAGGGAGAATGATAAACTATCTCTCTTGGAAAGGAATATTAAACACATTTAATTACTACATGAAATACAAAACTGCATCAAACTTCAAAAGTTGTCTTGCCAATAATAAAGACTAATGTGTTTTAAAATAAGTCTTTAAAGAAGCAGTCATTTGAACACCAAATCTGTTTGAACAGTCAAGTTAAAACTTAACCAAAGTAATAAAACAGTCTTAGGAAAATGTCTTTTACAATAGAATCCTTGTCACTTGACTTCCTTTAACACACACAAAAAAATTGAAATATACCTTAACACTAGAATTGAGTTAATGAATACTCAAGCTATGTGAGGTGTGTGCACTGACAACTCTCATCCTATATTTATCTTATGATTAACATTTGAGTTATTTAATGCTATAATACTCTACCATGCCCACCTACCCTACTTTCCTACATTGTTGTTAATAAAACCAAAGCTCTGTTTAAAAAAAAACAATATTAACATACTGAACAAGTATACAATATTTGTGTATAGAGTTAGTGTTTTACCCTTTGATTATACTTCAAGTTTGTGTGAGGACTTCCCAGCCTATATTTTCACTAGTAAAATATGTCCGATTCCCCACTACAGATGAGGTATAACCTCATATGTTCCTTAAACTAACTGAACAACATCTGTTGAACTTTTTAACTTCATTGCAATGAAACAATTTGTGATAGCATGCATTTCAATTAAAAGTAGTATCAATAATAAGCTGGTATAATGGTACCGGTTTGGTACTTACATAAGCCAGGACTCGAGCCAAGTGTTGTACTTGTTTACTATGTAATGATAAACATTTTAGTGCAAGCAGTGGAGAACTGTGGTACACTTGTACTTGTGTCAGACTCTCAACATGTAATGTCAGTGAACACAGCTTTGGACATCCCTAAACAGACAATAATACATATTATGTTACTTTATGGAATAATAGAAATTATAATTACCAATAATAGCCATATAGTTTTATATTAACAACTTTTGCTGAAATTCGTTCATTGCATGTAACATTACAATCTATAGTTTCTTTTAAAACTGACATATTTTTTAAAACAAACGTAAACAAGATTAGCCACCAGATAACTACAATGTAGCATGGTATAAGATTACCTGTATCCTGAGATACCTCAACTTTGAACATAAAATCTCTGAAAGATAAAAAAGCCAGTATTATCACTATAATATGGTAAGCATGTCAATAATTATTGTTTACAAATTAGTAATTAATTTCAAACAAACAGCAGTTTTGTTAAATGCTACCTGGTAAATTAAGTGAACCATTCAAGGCCTTATAACCCTTTACTTCATATAGAAGTGTTTTGACGGCTTATCGACCCCGCCCCCCTTTTCGAGGCCTCAGACAGTGAAATATTACCCTATTTAGGCCCCAAACACTGTTTTTCGTTTGGGAAATGTTGCTGAAAAAAGTATTCACTTTATCAGCGCTCCCCCTATCAAAAAGGTACATCAGGGGGTTGCCAGAAGGGGGATGTGCCCCATTGTGTTTGGAGGGTTTGAAGGGGGACTGTAGTCCCCACATCGCCAAGAAAATTTTTGACTTGTGAGAGGCTAAAAATAACCCCAGGTCGATCAAAACGTAATGTGTAACCAAAGCTGAAAAGCCTTTGACTCTATATCTCAATCCTTTGAGAAGTTGCAGCACTTTAATATCAATTTTTATGGAAAAAATCAATGCAAAATAGTGATTTTTGGCAATTTTGAGATGTCCCCTTCTTGCCATGGTCACAGAAAGTTTAAGACTGAGCATGTTTTTGCATAGGCAATGGTCCAGTCAACATTTGTGCCAAGTTTGATTAGTATTGAAGCATTTTTTCATAGTTTCATAGCAGTTTGAACTTGTAACAGGAGGCTTTTCAATGAAAACGGCCGTTTTTACAATATGCTCGTGAGGGAAAGGGATAACAAGGCAACAGCCAACAGAAGACTATACATGTATTCAATACCAAGAATATTCCATTTGTAAGCACTGACAAAGATAATAAAATGTAAGTCAGCATGTGGTTTTACCAAACACTAAATTACTGGCTGACCTATTTTAAAATGAAATGTTTCAAAATAAAAATTACTAAATTTGAACGGCAAGCAACATTGGACAAGACAGCACAGGTGCAAACTGACCCTAATTGCAATATTGCTGGTATATGCCTCTTCATATTAAAAATTTATCAAATTTCAGATAGAACTTTACAAAAACTAATATTTTTATTTAGCACTTTTTTCTCATAGTAGCATATGAATTTACTACTCCATTTATAATGGCAAAATGACATCACCCTGAGAATACAATTCATTCATAAAAGGTGCATGGGAATGATGTCATTTAAAGTATGCAGCCTGTCTGAGACAGGGCAGGGGTGTAAGACCGGGTTTTCTTCTTGCACCTGTGTAAACAGTAGATATGCAATATGTAATGTTATAGGCTAAATGTGATACCTAAAGAAGCTAGATGTATGCCCTGATCTAGTGTGAGTGAAGTCAGATTTTGTAGTTGTAGACGAAGGAACGTTTCTCCAGGTATAGCACGAACTTCCAGTATTCTCAATGACTCTACACACTGCTGTAATATCAACTCCCTCTTCTCTGGTGTTAACTTAAACAATAAAATATACAGTTATATTATATTTTGATAGTAACCTTTGAAGAAAGAAACTGTTTTCTTATCAAACAGATTTAGAATATATTTGTATAGAGACTATCATCCAGCATAACATTCAAAATGTATTTTTATCATTTAATAAATTTAAACTTAAAATTAAACTTACCATTTTATAAACATTACTACTTAAAACACCTAAGTACATGTAATCCTAGTACAATAATGATATAAAAAATCTGCAAGTTGAAATTAAACATGTATCTGATGGCTGTTAACTACACTATTTGTCAGTATTTTGTGTAATGTTCCAATGTACCGTATATGTTTTTATTTAATAAGAAAGTAAGCAATATACGGTATTTAAGTAAAGACAGTTATTACATCAATTCAGTCCAACCAGGCTCTAAACTGTTGATAACTCATCTTGTGCATTCTGATATTGAAATTTCATACACTTTGGACTATTTCAAATTCAAACAGGGCAAATTCATAACATAAATTTAGCATTAAGTGGGAATTATAAATAACATTATACTTGCAAAATCAAAAGAATAATTTATTGTTACCTTTGGTAGATTGTTGAGGGTAAGATGGTGGACACAAATTGGTGACTGTAGTTTTATTTCTTTCAGTGTTCTATGACCTGTCAAACTGCATGTTTTTATACAGCTTGGTAATAATAGACACCTAAAATTTGTAGAAAATGGTAAAAATATAAAACTTGCAGTTGTTGAACAAACAAATGGTATGTCAATTACAATCAGCTTGTTCACAGAGTTCACAATAAGTCATCAGTCAGCCACCTTGGTACATGGACTTCACATGTTGTTGAAAGTCATTAAAATATTTTTTTTTTTAAACTGGTTTTAATCAATTACTTTGAAGAAAACCTGAAAACAAAAGATATCTTAGACTAACAATAATAAATAAGTCTGTAGTATTATATACATGTATAATATTTTACAATTATATTACAATAATGACATCCAACTAAAACTAACATTGCTACATTTGTATATTTTTACTGCAAAAATATTTAGATTTTTAAGCCACTAAGATAAGAAAGTATTGAAAAACAGAGACCAAGTGGCTTTAACATCCAGTTCAAATTTGTTCACTTGATTTTACATTGGACATAACACCGCCAAACAATGTCAGCCTCAATATATCTCAGAGAAATGGTTGACATGGGCAGAATGAATTTACCTGAGAGATAATGATCCTATCAATGACAATGAATGTAGTTGGGGATTGTTTTGAATAATCTCAGTAACTGTCACATCAGTCATTCTATCACATTTTGTTATCGTCAACTCTCGTAGTCTCACACATCTGTAAATATGCCAATACCTTGAAATCTGTACAGCTAAACTTTTCTTTTGACACAAATTTATAGAGAATATAATTACATGATGACTTAATAAATACAGTGTATAATCAGTATTCATCATTAAATAATATATCTTTATAATAAAATTACTTCATAAAGACCATAACTGGGGTCACATTGTTGAGATAATTCGATTTTAATTTCACCCATAACTAGTACTACAGAACAGACTTTATTGATTTAACCCACGAGCCCATAACATATACAATTGTAACATTGAAAAAGATACAATTTATGTGGAAACACTCACATAAATGCATTATATTTATAACAATTTATACACATTATATATAAAGACGTAATTTAATCAAAACTGCATTATCATCTTTTTTCGAATTGTTGCATGGTTAAAATTATTGGCAAGACTCTTTATAACATTTTCATTTTTACACGATAATAATATACTCAATAACTAGTTCTAATTAATGTTTATGAGAGAATGAGTTACCTTAGTGATACTGTATGTTTTGGTTGAGTACAAACACCATTAAGTTTAAGACTATCTAATTGATCACAATGTATATCAAGTTGAGCAAAATTTGTTCCTATAACATCCAAGAAGGTTACATTTTCACCTGTTAATCTGAAATTCTGTACCATACCACACCACTGTAACAAATCAGGAATAAATGTAAATATAAACAATACAAAAAAAAATACAATTATATGTACTGAATAAATTTTAACTATATGCAAATTGATAGATAATAATGCAAAGTAAGAAAGTTAATCATTCAGGGAGTGACACAGAGACTGTGTGCAATAAATACCTGTCCAGAAAACAAAAATAAAGAAAATTCCACAGTAATTACAGAGAAACTAACTTTATGTACAATTTACTATTAACAGGTATTTATAGATTATATTTGTTAGACCAAAATATTTTTGATGATTTTAATATATTCCTGACAATTATAAGTTATTGATGATAAATATAAATTCCTTTTTTTCCCTGAGATTTATTATCTCTTTTTTTACCATAAACATGTAACCTGGTAAGTCAAACTGATTGTCATGATTTATTTCTGTAAGTCGTCAATTATTTTGGTATTCATACATTGTTGTTTCTAGTATATCAGTTATATGTATTGAATAATATGATGCACAAGAAAACATACCCTGACATGAAGTTGTTGTAGTGTAGGAACATTTTGTACAGTGATAGCAGTCAGTCTGTTACAACTCTCAATCTTCAATGATGTCAAACTAGGCCATCCATTTACAAACATACTGTAATACACATAGATAAATATCTTTCTATAAAATGACCATGCACAATTCATATTTGGTTTATACAGAATTTATTTTAGTTTGATTGTGTAGGAAGCCATAAGCTTAAAGACACACTTTCGAATCCGTTCTTAAATTCATATAAATATCAAAATTGATATTTTGAATAAGAAAAAAGGTCAATATACATGTATATGAGAAAACATTTCAATAAGCAAATGTTGTAATCTAACAGTTAATGTCTAAAGAAAGCTAACAGTATCTTCATAATGTTTGTGTTGGTGGTTTAGGTAGTGATCCCGAGAGTAAACTACCAACACAACCCCTTCAAAAAATTTTCTTTCAGTAACAAACACATGAGTGCAGTAATAACTTACTGTGTGAGGAATGTACAGTGTATAAACTCAACATTAGAGAGATATTGGAAGTAACGTAGATCATGTGATAGAATATCACCATGGAGACCTGGAAGACTGTGACATTTCAATGTACAAAGATTTGGAATACCCGAGTCCTGAAAAAATGGTTGTTCTTTATGATCTGATACCAAACTCTCTAACCCCTGCATTCTTGTCACCTAAAATACCGTAAGAGTTTATTAATTCATAAATGAAATTTTAATACTAGGTGCAAGTTGAGTTAAAATCAACACAAGTACACAAAAATAAGATATCTAATCATTTAGATGTTATTAATGCTTTTATTTTAATATATTATCACCAATTCAACTAACTAAAATAGTAAGTCATGTCTGAAATATTACTTTACTTAAATGTCCCTACATGTCACACTGTTGACAGGTAGAATACCATCCAGGACTACCTGTTTCTTAATTATAATTATATAAGGTGGTTCTTTTTTTATAAGTCACACTATAACATTGTTACTATGATTACTAAAGTTATAACCTTACCAGTTTTCCATGGAGGAAGCTGTCCATGAGTTCCTGTTCAGAGAAATCTCTACAATCCTTTATTGTCACATGCTGTATGGACTGAGATGTCAACAAAATATTTGTTGTGTTGATACAAGTCTGAATAATTGTAATAAACATAATAAAATTGTTAACATACATAAAGAAAATTCCACAAAAATGTAGTTGACTTTTGAATACACTGTTATTGACAGAAATGCTTTAGCCTCAGATGTCAACTGTCATAACTTTGAGTGGAAAGCACTTTTTATTGTAATTTTGAAGCTTGACAAGGATTTTCACCCATAAACTCAAAATAAAATTTTATTTCAAGAAGCAACTGTAATAGATTATCATTGACCTAAACTTTACTATACTTAAACGTATCTGTTTCTGATGACATTCCTCCACAACCTTGATTAATACATATTGTAGGAGTGAAATCCTTGTAAAAGAATGAACAAAGATTTAGAAGTTTACCGAAAATTCTAGCTGTGAGATTATATTTGAAGATATTGCTACATTTGTCCATGAATGCCCACCATACTTCAATGTTTTAAGACCAGTCAACTGAAGATAAAAACCAACAATAAAAATATTACATTTAATGTAAAAATCATTGTACACGAGGCAGATAAAGTTACAGTAAAAAATCTTTTTAATGCAAAAAATACTTGAAAAATTGACCTTGATGCTGATGCTAGGGTAAGTCTTTCTATATTCTTTTGACAATTAAGTTTAAAATAAGAAAAACCTTTGTGACTGGCTAGCAATTTAAAGCATAAAACAAAACTAAAACAATGAGTTAAATTCCTTCTACTTCTTCATTTGATAAGGATCTAAGAGGAAAATGTTACCTGTGGTAATATAATAGAGTTGACATCATCGGGGCTGATGTTTTTACAGCCACAAATATTAAGGGACAACAATAAATCTTTGTTTGTAATTGCATCAAGTAAGTTGTTGGCTGAAAGTCTGAAATTTGAAATAAACAAATTAAAACATTATATCTGTACTATGTATATTGTTAAGCTCTTTGTGTTGCAATCAATTTTTTATCCAATTAACAATAAATTTCATTTATCCGCGCAGTCTGATCAGGATTCATGCTGCTCGCTTACAAACCCTATTACAAGTAGAGAAACTGATAGACCAAATAGACTAAACTGACAAAAGCACTATGTTGGTTTTGTCATGGTGTGGCTCATATAACTGTCATGCTAAATGTGGTAAAACTTCCCTTATAATGCCAAAACAAGTTCATTTTTATTAGTTTTAATGCATTTAAATGTGATAAAAAAAGAATCTCACAATCATTGTCATATTATATATAGAGGATATTAAATGAGTGTAGGTTTAATACTAAATTTATTGAACGAGTTGAATAAAATCATATTATGCGAGCCTCTGGCGAGCATAATATTGTTTTATTCAACGAGTTCAATAAATTCAGTATTGAATCTACACAAATATAATATTCTATTTATCACATATATAAAATAAGAACGGTAAACTGTTAACAAGAGTCATTTTTCTTTGACGCGTCTATAGTGTAACGCTAACATTAGCGCGCTTTAACGCTATGTTTATAGTGCAAATGACGTGACGTCAAAGTGTTATTACACTAGTGTAATATCGTCTAGTGTATTATCGTTTTTATTAAATGGCTTTAATACACTTGTTACTATATATAGTAACAAATTGCCTATGATTTCAACTGATTATGAGTGTCACGTGACCTATTATGAGTTTGCGGCCCGGGGCCGAGAACTAGTTATCAGCCCGCAGAACATGTGCACGTGCACAAACTGAAACAATGACGTCATATTTTACGTCATCAAACAGTTAAGTGTAAAAGTGAAAGCAGGTTGTCAGCACGAATTGCTTTATTTTTATTATGAGAGCTTAAGCGTATTTAGTACAAACACATTTTTGTTACTTTTGAAATTTGAAGAAATTATACGACAAATCCATTCGGAAAAAAAAGGAAAATAAAACTTGCTTCTAGATTCTACTGCTTTGAACACACAAACAGTAAACATCTCTGAACAGAACAGTAGAAGAGTAGACAAGAATTTCAACGAAAGAACTTTGTTGTTGTATTTTTTTATATGCTACTTTTAGATCTACCAAGTGTATTAAAGACATTAATACACGTCAGAGTAGGGCCGGGAGGTGATAATCGGCCCGCAAAATGAATAATGGACCCGAGGGCTTTAGCCGGCCCTCTCCTGCCGTGTATTAACCTCTTAGTGTAATATCATTTTTATTAAATGGCTTTATTACACTCCTGGGCCGCGGTTTATGTGATAAAAAATATTACTAAACTTGACAAGAAAATATTATAAAGCTCACCAGAGGTTCACATAATCATAATTTCTTGAGATCATTTAAAATTATATATTATATGGCAACTCATGTGAGAACCGATGTATTTACAACAGAAGTTCAAATATAATCATTCTACATGTACATACCTTGAGCAACATGAGAGATTCAGTGAGGTGAGCTGGTCTGATCCAATATGTAATATATCTAGCTGTTTCATTCCTTCACAACATAACTCACACAAATCAGAGCTTGTAAGATCTATCTTAGTTATTTCTTCACAGCCTACTGTATCTAACTTACACACTGTAAACAAATTTATTTTTACAATCTGCATACATAATAATAAACCAATATGTTGATGCTCTTCAATAGTTTACTGGTTTTATATTCCATAATAATATTGTAAATATGTTGATGACGTGATTGATGAATTACATTTTTTATCTGTGCGAGTTATTTCAGTTTCATAAATGATTGTAAGAATACCACAGCATTACATAAGTGAAATATCATTAGATTAAATATACAGTAAACTTCACTTATAGCGAACACGGTTATTGCGAACTTCCGGTTATAAGGAACAATTTATTTTGGCCCGAATTTTGCCCTTCTTGATTTAATATAAAAATATATGGTTAAAGTGAACACTGTTATAAGGAATAACAGTTATAAGGAATTATCGCTTATATTTAGGAACTCATTTTTTAGTCCCAATTTAGTTAAAAGTACAGAAAATTACACTTTTATAACGAACTCCAAAATATCGACTATCCGATAGATCCCGCATTTTCAACTTTCATTTTCATAGGCACGGATTAAAACTCAGCCAAATGTACCGTGTATTAAAACAGCTGTGAAAATGAATTTGTATAGTAGTACATAATTTTCTATTTAGGATATTTTTTGCATGGGTTCTTGTCACCAAGATAAAACGGTTACAAAATGTATTATTTTTATTCTATTATTTCTTTTCTTTAATAGTTTTGCTCGAGTAAAAAAATTATGACCATTTATAATCGGTTTGCAACATAATCACGAATGCTTGCTAATCCATTGAAAACTACAAAATAAGCTTGATTGAAATGAAAAGAAATCTATATCTTTCATTTGTAAAAGTCACCCTTAAAATATAATAGAAGATATTCAATTTAAAAAGAAAGGAAAAATCGAAAATCCTGTTTGTTCTTAATCATGGAAAGAAAACGAAAAACACTGAGGTTAGAACAAAATATGATGTTTTATGAGCAAATGAGAAGGGGAGTAAAACTAAGAATGAAATAGCAAAAGATTTTCAAATAAATGACTAATTTTTCTTAATCAAATGCTCTTCAAAATGGAGGACGATGGTAAACAATCAGTTCGTTATTCGTAAATCCGTTCGCTATAAAAACTCCTGATACAAGGAACTAATTCGCTATATGCTTACAAGGAACTCCGGATATAAGGAACAAATTTTGAATGTCCCAATGAGTTCGTTATAAGCGGATTTTACTGTACTAGTAAGTTTCACCTCTACTGTTGCAACTGTTTTAATATTATATGTATAATAATTTTAAACATATTTCTGCAAAAAAAGAATGGTTTCCATTTTTGTTTATTCGTCATGGATGGCAAAACAGTTATCTCAGAGCTTTTAAGTTGAACAAGAGCTGTCGGTAGGACAGCAACGCTCGACTATTTTTAGTGCTTGATAGTAAAACAAGAACTGTCGGAGGACAGTAACGCTCGACTATTCGAAAATTTGTCACAAGGGTGTTTCATTGAGTATAATAATGCTTACCTATATGAATACATAAAATTGTCCGAAAAGGTACAAACTCTTCAAGTTTCAATACATTCCCTTCAGTAGTTATGGAGATACAAGCTTACATGCAAAAACTTAACCAAGAATTCATGAGTCGAAAAAGGGGCATAATTATGCAAAGAAGCAAATCAGAGTTATGGGACTTGTACCAATCATCTTAGATAATCACAGAGAACAAGTGTGTGAAGTTTCAATCCATTCCCTTCAGTAGTTATGGAGATACCAGCTTACACGCAAAAACTTAACCAAGAATTTCTAAGTCGAAAAAGGGGCATAATTATGTAAAAAAGCAAATCAGAGTTATGGGACTTATGCCAATCATCTTAGATAATCACAGAGAACAAGTGTGTGAAGTTTCAATCCATTCCCTTCAGTAGTTATGGAGATACCAGCTTACACGCAAAAACTTAACCAAGAATTTCTAAGTCGAAAAAGGGGCATAATTATGAAAAAAAGCAAATCAGAGTTATGGGACTTATGCCAATCATCTTAGATAATCACAGAGAACAAGTGTGTGAAGTTTCAATCCATTCCCTTCAGTAGTTATGGAGATACCAGCTTACATACAAAAACTTAACCAAGAATTTCTAAGTCGAAAAAGGGGCATAATTATAAAAAAAAGCAAATCAGAGTTATGGGACTTGTGCCAATCATCTTAGATAATCACAGAGAACAAGTGTGTAAAGTTTCAATCCATTCCCTTCAGTAGTTATGGAGATACCAGCTTACATACAAAAACTTAACCAAGAATTTCTAAGTCGAAAAAGGGGCATAATTATGAAAAAAAGTAAATCAGAGTTATGGGACTTGTGCCAATCATCTTAGATAATCACAGAGAACAAGTGTGTGAAGTTTCAATCCATTCCCTTCAGTAGTTATGGAGATACCAGCTTACATACAAAAACTTAACCAAGAATTTCTAAGTCGAAAAAGGGGCATAATTATGAAAAAAAGCAAATCAGAGTTATGGGACTTGTGCCAATCATCTTAGATAATCACAGAGAACAAGTGTGTGAAGTTTCAATCCATTCCCTTCAGTAGTTATGGAGATACCAGCTTACATACAAAAACTTAACCACAGGGACGCCGACGCCGACGCCGACGCCGACAAATGGGTGACTGCATTAGCTCGATTATTCTGCGAATAGTCGAGCTAAAAAATGCTTGATACAGTTACCTCCTCCTGTTTACAGGTTGGGGTCATGATGGTGAACAAGTGTGCAAAGTTTCAAAGCCATATGTCAATGGACTTTGAAAATATTTGAACTATTACAAAAACTTTAACGTAAATTTTAAGTCGAAAAAGGGGCATAATTCTGTCAAAATGCTTGATAGAGTTACCTCCTCTTGTCTACAGGTTGGGGTCATGATGGTGAACAAGTGTGCAAAGTTTCAAAGCCATATGTCAATGGACTTTGAAAATATTTGAACTATTACAAAAACTTTAACAATAGTCGAGCTAATAAATGGAGTCAATTCAACAAAAGTTTATCAAATTAAACCTTACACACTTGTACCACATGTCTGTCTTGTTTTTCAATATGCAGGTTTATTTCTAGTTTAAAACCATTTAGAATACATTTGTAACTCAAACATATGTTTTGTAACTTTCTTTATCTTGTAAGAACCAAAATTTAATTGTTACATATATTTCTGATGTTCTCTCAATGTTATGCTACATATATAATATACATCCTGACAGAACTAAATATATGTGCTGACTCAGCAAAAATATCAATAATGATACTGTTACTTACATTTAGGAGTTGTTGCTGTAATTTCATTCAAGCTAACACAATGAGAGGTGTCAAGTTGTTGCAGATTTGGACAATATGGAAGACTGACCACCTGCAAGTCTACAAACAGGGCAATGAGTTTAATAATTGTTTTAGTATCACTCATATTATAACAGTTAATTTTTTCTAATACCTAAAAATTTTTGGATTATTTTTGTGTAACAATGTACAACATACTTGCTTGTTTATGAAATATTATCTAGCTAAAAGGAAACACAATGATTTACCTTAAATTTATTTTAATTTAAGCTAAACATATAAAAATTTATAAATTTCCATATTTAATACCTTTGCAGAATTTGAGTATTACAACTTTGAGATTATCTAACGCACTTCTTTGCCCCTGTATAAGAAAACGAAAACATTGATATAGGTCATTTACTAAACTAATCAGCAGCAGATCACTAATGCTTTTGTTGACCTTAAATTTTATAAACATAACAAACAAGGCAAGAACATTTTGACGTTTCAGCTATGCAGCTATGGCCACTTGTGCTACAAGCTTTTGGTCTCTGAAAATTTAATGATAACATGCTTTATGTAAAGCATTTGTGTAATGGAAATTAGGACAGGAACATATGAGCTGTGTTAACACAAGCTTTATGTAAAGCATTTGTGTAATGGAAATTAGGACAGGAACATATGAGCTGTGCTAACACAAGCTTTATGTAAAGCATTTTTGTTATGAACATTAGGACAGGAACATATGAGCTGTAATAACATGAGCTTCATGTAAAGCATTTTTGTTATGAACATTAGGACAGGAACAGGAACATAAGAGCTGCAATAACATGAGGTTTGTGATATGAACATTAGGACAGGAACATATGAGCTGTGATTTGCATATCCATCATTTGAGCTACATTTGAACTATGACCATTAATTTCGAAACAAAAACATTTGAATTATGAAGCAATGAAAATTGAGCCATGAATACTTGTAGGTTGAATATATGCAGAAAAGTATTTCAGCAATAAACAGTAAGCAGCAATTGAGATTTGAGTATTTGTGCTATGAACATTTAAGCTATAAGTGCTTAAGCTGTGACCAGTTGAGCTATGGTTATCTATGGAAAGAAGCAATGAGTTATGGCTATTTAAACTAGGTAAATTTGAGTTTATGAACATTTAAGCTGTGAACAAAGAATTATGAACATTCACATAAAGAACAGTTGAACTGTTATCAGCTGAACAATGAACATTTGAGCAATCAACATTGTAAAGACTTATTAGTTATTTAGTTACTAGTTATTGACAGTTGTGCCATGGTCATACATGTACATCTATATGAACTATAAAGATTCAGCTATGAACAATTTTAAAATAAACATAAGGGCCACGACCATTTGAGAAATGAACATTGGAGCTATGATTATTTCGGTCATGAACATTAATTTAGAGTTGTGAACATGTGAGCTGTGCATAGTGGAGCTGTAAATATAGGTAATTGATAATATGTGTCTTGAAGATTGGAGCAATGGTATTCAAGATATGAAAATTTGAGACACTTACAATTACACTGTGAAAAATTAAGCTACAAAGAGTTAAGCAATAATCATTTTTGAGCAATGTACAGTTCTGCTACAAACAGTGAAATAGCATTTGGGCTTTGACCATTTAAGCTATGACCATTTAAATTGCGATCATTTGAGCTATGATTAGTTATGCTATTTAGAAGTTGAGCTATGAGTATTAGAGCTATGAAACTAGTTTAGTACACGAAGCTGGATGATAAGTAGTGAAAAGATATCTGAAAATGTCTCATATTAACATGAAAAAAATGTCTCATATTAACATAACATTATCAGCATTTTGTGGACTTAGCAGACAAACACTTTCCCATCAAGTAACAACTGATGAAACTGTTTAAAACTGAAATTAAATAGCTATACAATACTGCACATTTGTAACATTGCTTTTCATTGGATAATCATAACGTTTAGTATAGTTTTATATATGAGCTGCTGTCAATTCATGAAGAAATCTCACTTTTTTTGTCTAAAAAAGGAAGTTTGCTATATTAGAAATTTGTTAAAAATATTCCTGACAGGTTATATGATCATATATAAATGGTGGTTTGCAATATAACCCTTGCCTAGTCCTCAGGTTATATTTTTAAACAACTTATAACCTGTCAAAAATCTCTATAACCAATAATATAAAATTGAATTTTAAAGTAACTAATAATTTTTGTTGTAATATGCTATAATAGATACCTGATTTACATCAAAGGAGAAACTGTTGAGATATTGACTGGCTGTGAGATCTAGATGTGTAAGGTAAGGACAAGATTGAACCAAGATCTGTATGTTGCTAATAACAACCTTTTGCCCTAACAAACTGAAAGATGATATAATGATTAGAAGGTTATCACATAACAAATTTAGTTTGATGCAAAGCATCACAGATGCTGTATATTTTTTTGTAATAAGACTTTAAAGAAGTAAGGTCATTTAAACATAATAGGATTATCGGCTCTTTTGAAATAGTATCACAATTAACATGTATACCAAGTTTAAAGTGAATAGCTTTTATAATTCCTGAGAAAATGGATCTTAATGAAAAGGTTAACCAATGCCAATGAAAGGGTCATTGCAAAAGCTCCATAATTTAAAAAAAAAAAATGGAGCTAACAATATGTTAACATACAAAAAGTTTCTATAGAATTAAAACATATTAGCCGCGTCACAACAAAACCAACATAGTGCGTCTGCTACCATCATGGATCCAGACCAGCCTGCTCATCCGCGCAGTCTGATCAGGATCCATGCTGTTCGCTATCAGTTTCTCTACTTGTAATAGGCTCGGTAAGCGAACAGCATGGATCCTGATCAGACTGCGTGGTTGCAAACGAATTATGTTGGTTTTGTCGTGACAGGGGCTCATTTTAAAGTAAATTTTAAAACAACAATCCCAAGGGTTTGTAAAACCGGAGAATGCGGGGCTGGGGATCTGAATGTTTTAATCCGGGAATTCTAACTTCTTCAAACCCTTAAAAAAAAATTTTAACAACTTAAATTTAAAAATTTAAAGAAAATTTGTTAAAACTGATTTTTCCCCTATTAATAAAAAATTATTGGGTTTCTTGGAAACTTTTGGGTATTTTGGGTTATGGAAATTTTTTTGGTTTAAAAAGGAAACACCAAAAAAAATAACTTTGGAAAAAACAAGGGCTAAAAGGACAGCCTTTTGAGATAAAAATGACACAAGTTTCCAAAATTAAGGAAATTACAAATTTTCATTTTTAATTCTTTGGATTTTTAATTAAAAATTAAACAAATGTCTTGAAAACAAAGTAAAATAAAAGGGGAATTTTGAGTAAAACCTTGGGCTAGGAATAAACTTAATTTAACCATTAGCTCTGATTTACCTGGTCATGCTGATTGCAAATTACATATCATCATGTATCAATTAATTAAAGTTTTCTTGGAATAACAATTAAGATCATAAAATATAAAACTTTAATTACAGTTACACCAAGTTCTTGACTCATGATACTAGCTTTAGATTAGTTCAAGACAAAAGTCAGAACTGAATATAAAAATTACAAAAAGCAATAACTACATGAAAAATACGAAGGGCAATAACTCCAAATTATGCACACACAAAAAAGAAAAGAATTACAGTTTTATTTCAAGTGTGTACAATTTTGAAGGTTTTTTTATATTGTTTTTTCTTTTCTTTTACAATAAATTGGTTACAGAATATAACTGCTCCTTAAGAGAATTGCAAAATCATAGTACTGTATCTAATTGAAATGCTCTTATATATACAATACAAGTGATATCAATAACTTAGAATTACCTGTCTATAACAAGTTGTGTGAGACGTGACTGGAAAGAGACCAGTTCATTGATAGAACCAGCCTGTATGTAATTATTGTCATGTATCTCCAGTGTTTGTAGACATGTACATTTGGCACATATTGCATTCACTAAAATAACAGATAATAGTGATACTAGGTAATATATTCCTTTACTTATATAAGGAAAAAATTCAAACACTCAAATATTGTACATGACTGTAGGTCACATAAAATCTTACAATGTAAGTTCCTGATTTATAAGCTTTATCATAGGTAGATGATAAGAAATTGAAGTAAATTCATTCAAATTTGGGTAACAAAAGAATGTAAGGTCAACATTATGTTACTGCATAAAAACCTTATTTTTAAAAGGAAAAAAACTTTTCTTTATTTTTAAAAGGGGAGTGATTTTTGCAAAAAATTTAGTAAATTGAAAACCCTTATATCCGGGAAAATTAAAGATAAAATTTATTAAATTTGTAAAAAGGGGAATTTGGGGAAATTTAAAAATATAAATTTTACCAGACATGTGGGTTTATTTTGTGCTATTGTAACTCAAAGATGTGATATTCTTGTACAACTTTTTTAAAAAACTCCACCCATGAACCCTGTCGGCACTGTGAGATTTGCTCGGGGTTTTGTTTCACCAGCTTTTTCTTCCTCATTATAAATTCTTTTTCCTCTTTTCCACCTTTCCCCCAAAAAACAAATATTATAAACATTTTACACAAAATTCAAATATGCTTCATTTCTTGAAAACATAAATTATTTTTTCAAATTTAATTTTTTTCCTTTGGTAACCCGGGCTTTTTTACCGTATAAAATGTATTAAATGTAGTGTGTAAAATTGGTTCAGACGATGACTAATTTTATGAACACTGTATTTTATTTGTATGAAATTATCCATATCACCTGTTATGTATCGCTCACGGTATATCATTCACTGAATGGTGTATATCACATTTTGTATATCATACATGCTATATCACTCACTGTTAATCACTGATTGAATATCCCTCACAGTATATCACACACAGTATATTACTCAATGTACATATATATTACTTATTGTATATATTTCATTTCACATCACTCCATGTATACCTTTCACAATATAAATTTATTTCTTTTAAATTTCAGGACATTTTTTTTATGTACAAATTTTTTAACTTTTTTTTTTCTTTGATAAACCCCCCCCCCCCCCCCCCCCCCAAAACAACAAACTAAAGCTAATTGTAATATTTCAGTTAAGCTTTAGTGATAAAATATGTGAACATACCCCATATTATTTGCCATCCTGATGTTGTCAGAATCATCCTCACTGAGAATATCTCCAAGAATTACATGAACTGCAAGAATTTATAAACAATAGTTAACAAAATAATATTGATACAAATTCCAATAAACGTTAGTATATCCTGGTATTTTTTTAGAATGGACTAGCAGTACTTTGACTTTGTAACTGTCTTCTGTTTATTTAAATGAAAGATTTCGATATTTAATGCCTAGCCTGTTAGCAGCAACAGATACATGTATAACCAGTGCAAAAAAGAGAAAAACGGAATCCCTCAAGAACACCCAAAATGACAAAATTAAATATGTTGAAGGCTCAGTTTGATTTACTCTGTTTGTGCCATCCAGTTAGAACATATTTTGAAATGTTCCCGTAAAAATGATGAGTGGTCATGAAAGATGGACCTGTTCATTTAAGATGTTTAGTGACATAATGTTTAAACAGGCCACAGTAAAGAGTTTAGGCATACTGCAAACAAAGTTTAGACTGTCATTAAACTTCTGGCATAAGCAAGTCATTATCATCACTAACATTCAAACTTTAACAATTGATAACATAGTATTCAATGTTTTACCTGCATTTGGAGTTTTGTGTAAAATTTGTATTATTTTTTCAGCATCTGGAACAGCACAGTTTCTGAAGTCTAACACTTGTAAACCTAACCTGAACACAGAAAATAACAATATTATTAATTAATCAACACATAATTATTCTAAAATATCATAGACAAGAGCTGTCCGTAAGACAGCGCGCTCGACTTTTTTATTGCTTGCCAATAAAAAAAGTTTTTGCAGTAAAAGGCAATACAAGAATCTCTGTATTTTTAAAGTGAACAATGGCCATGAGCATTAAGATATTTAGTGAAGAATTATTTATATATATATTATTTACTTGTCCACCAATCAAATAGGCGAGATAAAATGTGAAATATGCATATACTACTGATTTTAATTTCAAGTACAAAAAGAGAAAAATAACTAGTTGTTTGATACCCTTGAATATTACAGCAATGTTTATATGACATAATTTATGGTAAAGTGAACAAGTGGATAGGAATGAATTTTTTTAGATTTTTTAAGTTTTTTAGTGCTTGCCTATAATACAAAACATTGACAGTTAAGGGCCATAATTCAAATAAAATCTTTGACAGAATTACCTTCTCCTGGACATGTTTGGGAATCATGATTGTAAACAAGTATTCCAACTTTCAAATTAATATCTCAAACAGTTCAGTCAAAAAGTGGACTGGTACTAAAAACTTAACCAAGATTCTAAGTCGATAAAAGGCCTTAATTTTTAAAACAAATCCTTGACAGAGTTTACCTTCTCTTGCGTACAGATGGGGGTAATGATGTGAAATAGCATTAAAAGTTTCAAAGCAATATCTCAAAGGGTTAAGGCAATAAGTGGATTTTACCCATATTCAATGTATTTTCTAAGTCAAAAAGGGGCATAATTCTGTCAAAAACCTTGACAGAGTTATGTCCTCTTGTCTGTTGATGAAGGTCGTGATGGTAAACAAGTATGGTCAGTTTCAAAGCAATACCTCCAATGGTTTTGAAATAAAGTGAGGTGGTACAAAAAACTTAACCAAGCTCAATACACTTTCTAAGTCAAAAAAGGGCCATAATTCTGTCAAAAACCTTGACAGAGTTATGTACTCTTGTCTGTAGATGGAGGTTATGATGGTGAACAAGTATGGTAAGTTTCAAAGCCATACTTGTAATACTTCTGAAATAAAGTGGGGTGGTACGAAAAACTTAACCAAGGTGTGACGCCGACGCCGACGCCGGGGCGAGTAGGATAGCTCCCCTTTTCATAGAAAAGTCGAGCTAAAAATAAACAAGAAATACATGTGACAATGATATTCCAAAGAAAAGAGCACAAAATGATGTATTTGCATGTTTAATGTTACACATGAGGAGAAAAATCTGAACTCTAAAGCTCATGATAGCGATCTTACATTTATAAAGCATTGTTGTACCACAATGTAGTACACTGTAAGTAATTCAGAGTCACAGATATTGACTAGAAAATCTACTCAGACAAATGTATGTATAAACAGCTAGATATTTACTAAGACAGTTACATGGACAACTAACAACCATTGTTATTTATCTCCTTGTAATATTTTGCAGTAAAACCATCGTTTTGAATATTCTACTACTTTTCAAACAAAAATAAAGTATAGCTGAATAAGATGAAAACATAATACAATGTACATGCCGACTGTTAATAGCAGTGAAATGGTAACATATTCATCAATATGTAATGTATAGGCAATATTCTATAAACATAATTATATTCTGTTGTATTTTACAATTTCAGGGTGGCTAAATAACTATGTGACAATGCAGTGTACAGGATTAGTTTACCTACCATAGTGTTGCTGAGGAGCAAACTTCTCTGAATTTTGTACAAGTGGAGGATACTTGACAAATGTCATTCCAGTCTAGAAATTTAAATATTTCTAATAACACTCCTGCTGGCATGTACTCTAATAAAGATAGTACACTGTAATTAAATAAAATACAGTTGTATAAATAATGTTGTTTATATAAATATATAGAGCATAAAAGATGAATTATCATTGTATATGAATCATTTCATATCCTGTTTTTCTATAAAAAACAATCAATATAAAATGTTTTTGTAATATTATTCTATGCATGATAATAATAGGGTAATATATTGTCTTGAAATTAATTTATTTACTTTAAGCATTAAAAACTGATTATGCTTTGTTTACATTTAGAACAATCTATTTTCAGCTCTTATCTCTAAGCATCAACATAACAACATGTCACTGGTTATTAGATCAGTACGTGTGTGTGTGTTTGGGTTTGTTTACCCTCGCCACCGGAAAGAGACCATATGGGCGAGCATATACTTCATTTATAACCTTTTAAAAAGGGGGAGCTGATGTTTAATTACTTATTGTTATATCCGTACATGTGTTTATGTGCATACCATATCCCCCATGACAGGGTAGTCTCTACGTACAACCTCTGCCATGGGAGGAAGATGGGGCAATCCCATACTAAGATTAAGAATTCTAAAATTAAATTATTAAAAAGCACTTATTTTAAAATTGGCCAAGACGTTTATAGAAGTTACCGTCTTTTATAACTGGTCTATCTAATATTTAGTATAACTAAAAATTTTAAAATATTACCTATAATTGTAGAGTTCGCATACTTGCGAAGAAGGCATGTCAGGAACGTTTTCTGACCAATTCATTGTGGGCTAAAAGTTATTTATGTTGGTTTCTATTTAAATGTTATAAACCGTATACATTGGGATGCATATAATTAATTACATGTTTGTAATTAGCAGAGTTTGTTTTAAATTTTGTAATTTTTGTAAGTTCTACCGAACACCCGCTTTATAAAGTTAATTTTGATTGGTTTAGAGAGGATTGCCTCCTTTGTTCTCATTGGCCGAAAATTCTCTGTTTACAAAATAAGGAGGTCAATCCGATTTTGTGATATTTTGCAAATTTTCTTAATTTTTGGATTGACCTATATCGACAGGTTTGTCGCGCGGACTGGATAGAAATTTTGCGGGTGCCCGTTGCATCCAATGTATACGTGTTTTTACCAACTTTATTTCAAAATTAAAACAAATATGATAGTTAAAATGTGGTGGAAACGGCCTTATCTATTTATCACTGTCTCATGGTCTATAAATTATTATGCATCTAGATATCACACATAATAATTAATCTTCTATTACTTAAACAATTCATAGAAGAATAAGAAAAAATCTAAGTCCCAAATATGGCTAATAATAATAACTTGGTTACCCATAATGTGATGAGATAGTCTTTATGTAACATATTTAAGAAAATCTCATGCTTGAGTGTACCCGTGATAAACGTATTGCTCCATATGGGGGCACGGGTTCACGTTTACTAGTATTAAGGATACTAGTTTATATATACAGGAATAAAAAGATAGATAATAAATAACACGGGGCGGGGGGCAAAGGGATATATACAATATGGAGTCTTTTTTGACATTATGGGTAATCTGTAGCCAGCACTTCCCAATTTTGATAATAACCATGAGACTGTATGGTAAAAATAGTCTAGTGCACAGCCTATTTAAGAAATTATTCAATTAAAATTACATAGCAATAAAATTACAAAATAGATAAATAAATAAACTTCGTAATAGCACCGTTTCACGGCCACTTATTAGGGCCACTTTTAAAAATAAACACTTAAAAATAGGTTATGTACACTTTATACAATGGCTGTGCACTGACTCAAAAATTTAAAATATAAAATATTTGTCCAAACTAACATACAGTATACTATACTGTAGTATATAGCTTAGGCAACTACCCCTCGCGTATTGTTTATATGTTCGCGTCATAACCTAATATATCAAAAAAGTTTTGTCTAGTTAGACTACCTAATATTTATCTTATAAAGTTTCATTTTACGGCATTGATTATATTTTAATACATTCGCCTTTTTGCTGGAGAAAATGTGAGCTCGCGGACAGCGCACTGATAGATCACTCAAACCTTCTTCAGAATCGGATAGATGGACCAACCACCACATATAATGATGTTAAACGAGACGAAAAGTATTTTAAATTTACGAAAATAGAAGAGGATAAACCTTTTACTGTACACGATAATTGTGACCAATCATATTGTTGTATTTCTGTTAATTTGAGAATACTTCAATTTCATTGGTTGTTGGAAAATACCATAGAAGAAAATATGATAAATTTCTTCGCGAATACCTTATTTTATGAGCCCATAATTTTATTGATGGGGACATATTTATAAAAGAAACCATTTTTCTACAATGTCCAGCATTATTATTTAATGAAAAAGTGTTTGATTTTGTCAGATCTTATTCATATTATAAGATCTGATACCCCATTTTCTTCTTTTCGTGTTGGATAGAAAATGAGGTGAATTAACCTATTGGATACGTCAATTTGTACATTCGATAAATTTTTATTCTGATATTGAAATAGCTTGAAAATTGTTTTCTACAATGTACGTTGTATGTGTTAAATGATAAAATATTCCAAAGCATTATATCTGATCTATACAATCAGATCTGATATGTCATTTTCTTCTTTCGGTGTCGGAAAGATAGAAAATCTAAATTTGAAAATGTGATACAAAATGCTGTATATGTAGTAAATTATACATTAAAAGGCAAAATAGTCTATAGTTATAGATCTTGTATCACTATAAACTGAAATAACGTCAATTTTTAAATTAAATATTAACCATTTAGTCGAAAATCTACTTTATCGTTATTTCATGCCGAACATGGGATTTGATACGTGCTCTCTCATTGGTTGAGAGCATTTGTCTCCTATGCGGCCATTGGTCCATTTACTATCCGATTCTGACTTCAAGCTCAAGACTTTGACCTATGACCCCCTCAGGAATGTGGCATAAACAAAGATTTGTTTACATTTTGTGCTGTACACTATGTAGAGCTTTTAGACCCTATTTATATTAAAAATTTGATTTTTTAAGATATAAAAAGTAAAATACATTTAAAATAATTGCCACTAATCCTTATAGATATATTGGTAACACAATTATATTCATTTTACCTTATTAATTTGTTTGAATTCATTCGGGTTGAGAGTTTTTAAAGGTATACTTTTAGATTTGAATCAAATAATTAATTGCTGTTGGAATTTGCCATGAATACAGCTGGTAACGGGTATTTTCCCGATGTAAGGCCAGTCCACACGCTCAGGTCAACCCGTACCAAAACTGTTATTTATAAAAATATGTTATGAAAAGAAGAACAGATGGAACTATGTTTGATGAATAGATATATTTCAAAATTTATTGACAAGGGAACCTGGAGTCAACCAGAGCTCCTCCCCGGTAACGTAGGATACTAGTATCCCCCCTCCCTGTTGAGACAGGGCGCCGCCGGGGTGCCCGAGACAGTCTTCTGCCGTCCTTCCCCTGATGGAATGGGCTGAAGGACAGCATAGGCTTTCTCTGAACCCCTGCCTTACCATAAATAGTCAGTTCTATTATTAGTTAAGATATGAGGTAAAGGTTAAGAGTCTGTTTGTTGTTTATTGCCAGGGGGAGAGTAGATAACTCCTGTTATTTAGTTGTTTTTTATAAAATTGGCCGAAGATTTTCTTAAATAACGTATATTAACTGATTGTTTGATGGTTTTATTCCGAAACACCCTTAAAAGTTTATACATTAATAAATTTTGGAACATTTTAATGTGTTTAGGTTAAATTTGTCTATTGAAATGTCAATAAAGTAAAAATATAGTATCAGATTATTAGTTAAAGTTTTCTCCCTTGGACTGTTATTAACCAATATATAGGAATTATTGCAAATCATTATGGAATTATATATCATAGGAAAATGGCTATAAATATTTTATTTCTCAATGGATTTTGTTGGGGTTTTCTTCTTTTAGTCCATTATATGTATCTGTTATTTAAAAAATAGAGTTTATGATAGTTATCTTACTCTTTCTTAATTATTGGAGAGTTATATTTGTATAAAATTATCTAATTTTAGAATATTTGGGTTTGATTTTGGGAAAGTTACCCATCATAGGAAAATTTCTATATCTTTTTTAGTTTTTAATGAATTCTTTTGGGGTTTTCTTATTTTATTCAATAAGATATGTCTATTAATAAATACTGTGGTTTAATTTTGATTAATATATTAGATTTCAGATCATAGAAGGTTAAGATTTCTTTATTTTAGTACTTTGGTGTTAAATTTGTACTAATAACCTATTACAGGTAGAATGATGTTATATTTTCATTTATTAGTCAATTTGTTTAGGAATTTTCCTGTATGTTATGTGGATGAATCTATTAATGTTTAAAGATGATTTGGGATGGGTTATCTACTCTATTTCATTTTATTGTGGGTATATTGACATCTGTTACTAAACCGGTGTCAAGGGACTAAAGTATGCAAACTGGGTCCCTATTAACCTGTTATTGTGAGGTTATATTACCATATAATTATGGTTATATATAAATTGGTTATATATCTTAGATATTTAATTATGGTTATATATATTTTGGGTGAATAATTGTGTTACCTGAGGGGGACACGGGCACATTTCAAGTTGATTTATTAAATTTTATCTGTTAATTTACACTCAAGGATAAATATCTCAAGAGCCCCATATACATGGTTATGATGTTGTTTTGGGGGATTTAAAATGTTCTTTGCAGTAAATCCAAGCCCCACTGATCCAATGCGACCCACCAATTCTTGCCGCTGGGCTGCAAATTGGGGACATTCGATCAGTAGGTGGTCAGAACCATATCTCACTCCACATTGTGGGCAGGTCGGGTCAATTTTCTTAATGTACTGCCCCACACTACCAGGTAATAGGCTTGAGCCCAGTCTTAGCCGGCTAATGATTTTATCAATTTTGGTATTGTTTGAATATTGTTCGTTACCATAGATACCTATATGTGCTGGACACCAAACAATGGTTACCATTTTACCTACATTTAGGCATTTAT